AGAACTATAGGCAGTCAAGGAGTAAACGGCACCATTATCGGCTGATGTTAATGTAGTCAGTTTGACTCCAGAGCTACTTGGCCGTATGAGAACGTTAAGTAACACAGCGGGGCAAATTGTGTTCAAACTAAAGACTGCTGAGAAAGAGCTAGTGGTCAGTACAGGTTTTTAAAATCCACCGTTATCACTACGTTTAGATGGAACGTACCACTGAGAAGTCCTTCTGATGAACTGAGGCTTCCCCAGTGCACTTAAACCCCCCACTATTATGATGACATTCGAGCTCATACAGGTGGCTGAGAGGGTGATCAGTTCTCTCTAAGATGTCTTTCAGTGAATCGGAGCGACGGTTTGTTGGTTTGTTGGTGCGTAGGCAAACGCGATAAAAGTGCGTTCAGCATTTTGACCAATGTGAATTTATCGGATTGGAGAAGTGGGCAGTATATAAGAAGCTGTTTAAAGGTATCCATTCGAGCGATGAAGCTTAAGCTCGAGAACTTTAGGTTTCATGAAAAACGACAGAAACCACAGCACTAGCTTCAGAATAACTCGTGTCAATTCCATAGGTGCTTTACTGAAGTGCATACAACCGAGATCTACATAAAAGTGACTGTCAAGTGGGACAGGACGGGATTTAGAAGAAGAAAAATGGGAAGTATCAGTAGTAAAGTTGTTTCACTGGTGTAAACTCTGAAGGGTACCAATGATGATGTGAAATGAAAACCAAACGCGCAAAACGAAGTGGCGTGGAGAGAAACGATACGAACTCAAGATCATCAATTGAGCCTATAAAGCTGAAGCATACGAGATACAAGATAACACTAGGGGCTGTCGGGCTTAGAGACAAAACGGGATGGACGCCGACTGTAATGCTATGTGCGGTGGCCGGCCATTAGCGGACTCGCAGTAGTCCTTCGGCAAAATGTTGACATATAAGGGAGCTCTACCAGGTTATCAGACAGGTGTTTAGGGTAACTTTCCATGTCCCACACTGAACGGACCAATTCAGAATACAGTGCCTTAAGACCCTAAACATTTCAGTGCGCTAAGCCGGCGATAGTGGCAGAAGTGACTTTAAGTGGTCACCTTACTGATCGACGTAAGTTAAACCATAGTCAACTATAGAAGGCTGCGCTGGTGTATGCTGGGTTTACGTGACACAGCCCCCGTTTATTCGAAGCGACTACCATGGGGTTCAACTGCCAGGCTGTTTCCATGTGTGTGCAAAATACTCGGAGTGCAAAACCAAAAAGAGTGCTAGTAGTGAGTTTCCATAGTCATTATTGTGCACATATAGCTGGCTAGCACAAGCTAGCCATGTGTCTTCCTTACATGCGTCTTATGGATGATGTTGACCGCCAATACCGAGCCATCCGGTAGGCAGCCTCCCTTCCGGTCATATTCATTCGCGTTTGGACCGACTAGAAGGAACCAGTCGGTTGCGCACATAGAGAAACGTATGCGACATCACATGTTGTGTGCAGTGGTCCATCGCTTGCTTTGATTTGACAGCCGAATCTAAGTGTTTATTTTGTGCGATATTTACAGTTGCAATAACGATATAACCCACTACATAAAAGTGATTTGCCCTGAAGCCTCCTGCTTAGGATTATGCTCCGAAAACAGTGAGGAATTTTCTTCGTTCACCATATGCGTTAAAACTCGTCGGGGACTTTGTCTCTTTTGCCGTAATGAGTTTCAGGACAGACCAACTATATAACACACACCAGTCTCCAATTCTACCGTCCCGTCCAACTCCCCCAGGAACCAGCTAGACAGATAAGTAGTACACTAGTAAATAGAATAACACGGACAAACTTTTGTCCGTCTCATACAAGGAAGATACAGAATCCCGTTTATATTCCGGAAGCTTTCACCCACATTAAACAAAATGATCCTGTGTCTGAGCTAAACGTATTCCCTGGAAGTTGGTCTCTGATGTTTTGGTTCTACACAAACAGTCTTCTAATCCCGTCCTTTCCTCCTAAAGCCTACGACTTGCAGTCTGGCGTTCAACCAAGCCGATCCTGAACTGTTCCCCAGATCGTTTACGCGAAAGCACGTTGTCAAATGTCGTTACCAAGTGAACCGCTAGAACTCAGCAAACATATTTTACCCAGTCTGGGGAGACATTCCAGGTGCAGATTTGGAACCCAGATAATCCAGGAACTTCTATTTCCTTTGTAATGTACTACTCATATGGTTGCTGAAAATCCATCGACAGCTTACGGCCGGTTTCGCCCTTCTTGGGGCTCATCAGGTAGGCGCAGTCCCCGGGTTTCCGTCAACCTTATGTTCTACTTGAAACCAAATNCGGTCGTGGGCTGTCGATGGATTTTCAGCAACCTTATGATTAGTACATTACAAATATACATGTATCGCGATATTTCAAATATCGTAGCAACTGAAACATGAGGCGGCCTGGTGCAGCACATTCACTTGCCTGAGAACATCATAAACGAGAGATTCAGCTGGGTTCCAGGTGAGTCTCTCGAAAGAACCAAATTAGTTTGCAAATGAGTGTATATTCCATTTCCTTTGTTTTACTAGCTTATCAATGTTCCTACTTCGTTGCTTACGTTGTATTCCTGTTTGACGTTTGTGAAGCGATCCCCAGCTGATGCATTCGTCACCGCTTCGGATGAGTTCGTTCAAACTATTATTTCCTGACACCATATCAAATAAAATTGCGCTTCCATAGGTCACAACTGGTTGCAAAAGTTTTTGAACAAGTACTGACTGGATGTGATCTTTCGGAAAGAAGCCATGCGATTCAATTAGTACCCTCCATCAACTCGTTTGTGCAACCCGCTTCTGTGCAATACGGCTCAGTGTCCGCTCTAAGATAGACCAACAATGTGTCCTGTATAAGCGCTTTTCACTCAGAATGCGAAACTTTGTGCGAGTTGTACAGATTAGTCGTAAAATTGGATAAAATAAGTTCCGACTTGATTTACAGGAGGAAAAATCGAACAAAACGAGTAGCAATGGCAACTTTTTTGCATATTATTTTCCATCAGGCCAGATACAGCACGCGGTCGAAAAAATGCCAGCAAAAGTGCAAAATAAAATTCATCCAAGTGTGCCACGTTAGTTTCGGTTAAAAAATTGTCAACCTGTTGTGAAAAGTTCGGAATTCGATTCAACATATGTGGAATTTATGTTTATACTCAAGCAACGACAGAAAGGTAGAAACAGTAGACTATGGCGAAACCGTCCAAGTAGATGTGTGAACATGTTTTACTGACGGAAATTTCCTGTGATGTGAAAACAGTGAAATATAACCATCGTGAAAGATATTGATTTCATGTTATAAGCTGATGTACAGAATTATTTTTACATCACAGAGATCGGCTTGGAAACGCTGTTCCTTATGGCCATACAGAGAAAATCTCCATGAACCAGGTTCACGGTAACTATACGATAGTTTGTGGCTTATGTGGATCGATAGCAAATTAGGCCTTAATAGTGATTAAGCGCGAATGACGGCACGATCATAGTTCCATCAAACGCTGTGAATGTACTGGCTAATTAAACCCGTTGCCAAGACGATTCCTATCTAGTGTGACTGACCTGATTCAGATATTCTATGCCAGTATACGTTTAATGGAGAAACGGAATTTCATGGTAACTACCTGATGGTTTGTCAATAATCGATATAATAATATAACACTATATATACATATATGAGTTTTTGTGGTAAAAATGAGTGTGGATATGTATATTCAATCTGAATGGATCAATCAATGGATGAGTCAATCTAGTTGAAAGCTTATCCAAAAAGAATAAGTCACGAAAAGTAAAGCGCAACCCCCATCCTTTGGTTTACTTAGCATTCAGAGATATCCTTATTTAGGCTCTCTGGGTTTGAGAACGTTTCAGTTGAACATCAGACCAGATGGCTGTTTTAGTCAGCGGCATGTACCAAGTATGTAGCACAAGGATGGGTCAGCGGCCACAGAAGATAATACTGTAACTAAAACACCCTCGACAATCGTACGTATGAAGCTTATGAGGTTTTTACGTCACTTGTTGTTCAGTCAGAAAAAATATTCTAACCGATTATTAGAACTTTTCGCACTCATAATGCATAGCCGGTGAAGAGCGCCTGCTCCCATTGGCTGACGACGTTTCAGTTGTTCCTTTTTTCCCGTCCGGAATGAAATTTCATTGATAGGTTGAGGGATGATTGATTAATTCGTACATCTGAACTGAGTGCTGAAATAACAAAAGAGCAAGAGTTCTGCGTATTCATTCGGCTCAGTCACGTTCCAGCTGGCGATGAAGAAACGATGGTTTCGGAAATCCATCCAGGCAGAAGGTCAGACGGGAATTCTATAACAGTTCCGTATCAGAATAACAGCACTCTCAAGCTAAACCATCGAGGGCTGACGGAATATGCCGTCCTAATTGTTGCTCATCTGTGACGACAGAGCAGTTCAGTTTAGACCATTTGTGATAAAAAGATTCTTTACGGCTTGAGATAATTCTCGTTTTTTCTTTTGCCAGTAGTAGCAAATGATACCAAATTTATTAAGCGTAAAGAGACCCCACAGTTTCCTCAAATGACATCTATGGCGCAATGAAAAGAGTAATACCTTTCATTGTTGAGATTTTAAGGTATATTTGGCTGCAGTTGCAAGATTTGAGACGTGTAGCCTAGTTTACGAACGAAATGCCCACATGTAGCGTTTTCAGCAATTTCGGAACACATGATCGATTCGTCCATACGTCGCAACTGAAGATACCAAACCTCTCTGAAACGATGACTTCCAATCGGTCCCATAATAGTTATGGTGTCAAAGAAAACGGCGTGGAACCGCGTGATCTCAATAACGCACCTGACATTTCAAATATATTTAGATCAATACAGGTGTACAAGGCCTGTAAGATCATTGCACATGACCTTATAAGTCTAGTCCTGACAAGTTTCATTTTATGATGCATATCGTAAACACTTAACAAGAACACCAGGAGGACAAAAACTATAAGACTATTTAATGGGCACATCGCACGGCAAACAACGCCTATATGTGGCGTCCGATGGAAAGGAAAAGTCAACGTTGAAACGACAAAATTACCGTGGGCTGTCTTCTGAAAGACGATTATTTAATGATCATGGTTACATTCGTGAGTTGAGTGATTTCAAACCTGCATTTGCGAACCCCCTTTCTGATTATCGCAGACAAATGCGAGCTTCATCTCCATGTCTGGCGTTCAGCACGAGCTCTTCCAATAAATCGAAATCCAACCAGAAGGTGCGACAAAATTTGTGCCATGTATCGGTTCCTACTGCTTCACAAATGCGGTCTGGCTATGCTCAGTCAAAAACTCTGGCATACGATAATAGTTTGGAATCCTGCGGAAATGTGCGTCACAATTCGGCGGCCAGAAGAAATAAAGCTGCTAAAAGACATCAACTTCGCAGATCAGAAGAGAATAACAAGGGACTACGAAACGGATCCAAAATGGATGACAACTACGGGGCAGATGCTGCATCAGAAAGTGGACTTTTCGGCGCACATGATTATTCAGACAGTGGAGACAGGCACAACCTAGTGAACACTGCTAGAGTGTCCGATAAAGAAGTCTCTGTTGGAAACCAGCAGGACATGGGGCCTCTGGAAACTGGAACTTCATCAAGCTTGAATGCAAGGTTGAACCCGAGGGAATTAAATTATCCAGAAATGTCCACTGGGGATATGGCACACACAGCAGGGCCAGCATTCACAAACACAAGTGAGAGGCAAGATTGTTACAGTGCTTCCACGCTGGTAACAGACAAGCCCCCGACGCCGCCTCAAAAATCCAAAACAACAAACCTCCCGACACTGCCAGAGAGACGGCCACCCCGTCCTGTAGAATCAGCGGCCAAAATACGAACAACAGATTCTGGGTTGCAATTTTCTGCTATGAATCGGCTTCCCACTCCCAAACTAAGAGATCACACTCCATCCGTACGTTCCAGTTCACTGTCTAGGCCTTCCACAGCAGATGGTTGGTCCCGCATTCCACAGGACCGAGCTAGCCCATTAACTGTGCTGAAACCTAGGCGTAGCAGCTCGGTTTCTCAAAAGTCAGAATCGGACTCAAATACAGAGAAACAACAGAACTTGTCGAGAATCGAATATACCTTTTACATAAATGACACAGAAGCCTATCAGAGACCATTCTATGACAGACGAGTTGAGGCCATCGCAAGAGCCAGTCAGTGTAGTATATCCCTCCACAAGCCACCTCCGGGTCACAAGCCAGTTTATTATAAAGGTATACGCGTCCTACCGGTTACGATATCATCACGCACCATGGTTTCTTTAAAGCGCTGCATAGCACGACTTGATATGCAGTACCCATATTTTAACGTCAAAGCATTCTGTCCACCGGATATGTACTGAACGACAGCCTCTGAAGACAAATGTTTTCCAATTTTGACCAACAATCTCCAAATGATCTCGTGATTTTCATACACGTTTTGACATCTGGCACATTCAATGATAGTTAAGGGCCCAAGTGTAACTGAACGTAAACACACAGATAAACAACGGTCACCGAACGTTTTACTTTCCTGGTACTTATGCACAGTATTGCACACTATTATGTGAATACAGGTAATGTGATAACCATATCATCTCTGCTAGTCACTGGAGTGGTTCGAACAGACGACGCCACCGTTTTAATTTTTTCAATAATTCACAAGTTTTCGTTATCGCCTTCAAGCATTTGTAGAGGACTCGTCTGGTAAGGGGATTGGAAAAAACCCAGGCTGCAGTACGTTTGCCAGCGAGACAATTGGGTAGGGTGCCGTTTGGTTCAAATAGCGCTTCTAAGGTTCGCTTATCGAAGGATTTCGTGTGGTTGTGGGTCTTAGCGCCTTCGTTTTGGGCGTGAGATTTTCCGAAACCACTACTACACTGTCCCTGTTTGATGTATCCTCAGCGCTTGACACATTTCTCCGACTTTCTCCAACCGGACGGCAAGTACAGGATTAGTCGGCCGCTTGCTTTTTACGAAGTAGTAGGACGTCTTAAAACAAAAAACCAGTGTATTTAATTGCTGCTTCATTGACCCGTGCACCTTTAAACACGAGAAGGTTAGCATTTGGGTCGAGTGCGAGACCGAACACAGGCACTGTGCAGACAAACGTTGTTTGCTGCTCATGGGGAGACTTGCTTAAAGGTACTAAGAAAGCCAGTTAACATCCACCCATAAATGGTGTTCGGTGAATTGAATCGGTAAAAAGAGTAGGGAGTAATGAAAATTCTATTCTTGTTTGATTTGCAGGAAACGGGGCACAAAGTTCCAGCTTTGGTAAGCTGGAATAAAAAGTGAGCGAAATCATATGGGAACAAATACTGCACAGCCTTTGGACATAAAAAGAGCGGAATAGGTTTGCGTCCTAAATAAATTCTTCTTTCTCTTGTTCTTCGTCTGCTTCCGGAATGCTGCCTTCTAATACGGGCTCAAAAGACCGCCGGATGTAGAGAGACATCGGACGTCGACGTAAATGCGTTCCAAAAGCCGGGGAAGAAGTTCTATTGAGTTGACGTACTGGACATGTGGGTCGAATGTCTCTCTCGCTTGACTGAGACTTCGTTTGACGATTGCCATTCGGACAGAAGTAAGTGGAGGATGAATGATCACGACTATCGATGCATACAGGATGAGGTTTCATAACTTTTTCACTACCTCCTGAAGATGTGGTTGGTACGTTGGTAAGCTGAATAAAAAGTGAGCGAAATCATATGGGAACAAATACTGCACAGCCTTTGGACATAAAAAGAGCGGAATAGGTTTGCGTCCTAAATAAATTCTTCTTTCTCTTGTTCTTCGTCTGCTTCCGGAATGCTGCCTTCTAATACGGGCTCAAAAGACCGCCGGATGTAGAGAGACATCGGACGTCGACGTAAATGCGTTCCAAAAGCCGGGGAAGAAGTTCTATTGAGTTGACGTACTGGACATGTGGGTCGAATGTCTCTCTCGCTTGACTGAGACTTCGTTTGACGATTGCCATTCGGACAGAAGTAAGTGGAGGATGAATGATCACGACTATCGATGCATACAGGATGAGGTTTCATAACTTTTTCACTACCTCCTGAAGATGTGGTTGGTACGTGACGGAATACTGGTCTGGGAACTACAACTGACTTCGGAGGTGTGAAATCCAGATGTGGAGCAGATGATGAAATATCAAGGTTTATTTCACGCCGGAGGAATGCCGGCGACTTTTTGACGCTGAACATAAAGTGAACAGATGATGACGGGCGAATTTAAGCAAATCTACTGAGAGTGGTGACATATGAGTAAGCGTGAAACAGCCGTGAGATAAATAGCTATTCATTCAGGTCTCTGATAAGGGGTATACAAACGTTTATCGTTTCCTATCCTACTCAGTTTAGGAATTTTGAATTTTTAAAGTCTCCATCAAAACAACTGTTCATTGAAATTATGATCGTTTTATTTGTTACGTAGATAGGAAACACGTAGATTTTGCGCTCAAGGCATGAAAAAAGCTAGTGGGACTCTCCATAAATCGTTGACACAGCATATGCGATGCTTAACTATGCACAGAACACGACTCTGAGAGAAAGTATGGCGATGTTCTCACTAGTCAGTGGTACTTGTTGGTAAGTTACCCTCGGGATACGAATAAGCAGTTTATTTTATAGAAGTAGCGCGCTATTTATAAGGTTGCTGAAAACTCTTCGACAGCCCACGACCGGGCTTATTAAGTAGGTGCAGTCCCCGAGTTTCCGTCAGCCTTACATTTTACTTGAACCCAAATCATACGAGATTAGCGAAATACACTCATTTGCATACCGATTTGGTTGGTCTTCACGGGAGAATCACTGGAACACGACTGAATTCCTTGCTTATTAAGCAACTGGATGTGCTGTGCCACGCCGCCTCATGTTTCAGTTGATACCATATCCGAGATATCGCGATACGTTGTATATAATTGGTGCATTACTCATAAGGTTGCTGGAAAACTCTTCAACAACCCACGATCCGTTTCGCACTTCTTGTGGCTCATCAGGTAGAAGCAGTCCCCGAGTTTTCATCAACCTTATATCCTACTTGAGCCCAAATTACTTAATAACATCATAAGCGAGAAATTCAGCTGGGTTTCAGGTGAGTCTTCTGTCAAAGCCAAATTGCTTTGCAAATGAGTGCATTCTGCCAATAGTTTATTTGCATCAGTTAAAATACTGCGCAAAAGCTCATAACGGTTAGTGGACAGAAAAAGAGCTTATATCCAAAGGAAGTGGGAAAGAGCACCAACTGCAGTGAATCGATGATGTTTGATCAAAACTTGGAGACGATCCCCTGACTGATATCAAGAAAACCGCTGGTCACCGCAAATTTTGCAATGTGGTGATTTGTGAGGACCGGATAGGACCAGATAACAAGTGGCGGGAATATGTAAACGGCCATCAACTTTGCATTTGAGAACCAGGCGTTTCCATCATTAATTTTGGGGTGCCCTATTTTTTTTAACTTACTAATATGCTGAAAGCCATGGAATACAGAATCAAGTGCTGGAATAACGAGCAGAAGACAGCGATTCTCACGTATGAGAAACATACTACCCGTAGAGCCCTGAGGACTTGGCATATCCTTGACATGGGATGAAAAAACGAGGGTATTCACATTCATCAAACGAGCTATCGAGCTCCAAGGTACCGAATGAATGGTAACCGAGTACATAAGGCAGAAAAATTTCCATCATGTCTCACATCGGCTTCTGTACTTATGCTGGCAACAATTTAGGAAGGTGATAATTCACTGCGGTGGCGCCCAGGTCCGAATAGCTAAATTCACCGCACTATCTTTGTCTTTCCACTATATCCGTTTAAAAGACCAGCGCACGGACAAGAAATCAGTAGAACACATTCGAGTCACAATGAGTTGACCCGTTATGCAACTGGACCTGAGAACTTGATGTTTTGCCTAGACTAACGAGAGGAATGGCGGAAGCGGGAAATAAACTGCCGAATTCTTACGAACTTGAAATGGTAAATCACGAAAAACCGCCTTTATTGAAGCTTGACGAACCTAATGACTAGTATTTTGCTCCATTTTAGAGAAACACCATGACGTTTGGGAACTATTGCTTAGTGAATTTTAAATGACGATGAACTAAGTGAACCAAGAAAGGCGAGAAACTTGGTGGTATCAATGGTGTTTTGTACATGATCAATTACGCCAACCAAGCCCAACATGTAGTTTTTACTATAACGCGCAAGGAATCAGCGCTTCAGCACAAAAAGTAACTGAAAGCGCCAATATCACGCTTCGGCAACCATCACTATTCGTTGTAATGTTGGGTTGTATCCATGTGAATTTTTCATCACGACTGACTGGTTCAGTGAACGACACGGACAAAACCACCCTGTAGGAGTACCGTTAAAATTATCAGTTTCCTTGCACAATGTGATGTAGAAGAACGGTTCTTAAAATCTGGCGATAACTGACGTTATGTGATGGATAAGTAGGCGTAAAGCTCAAAGCACATTTGGGCGTACAAAAAAGATCTACAAAAGACGATAGGTTAAGTGCGTAATTACTTGTTACTGTCATTTGGAACCTAGAACTGATGAACAAGAAATAGGTTCGACGAATTCCAAGTAGAAAAAGTGGAGGTTAATTGCAGCTAAAGTCTACAGGCTCTGAGACATGCCAGTGGTTTGTCTGCTTGCCCGCGTGCACCCTGTTCGTTACGCGAATGAAAGCCATAATCCTCACCGACTGCTTATGGATCAACAACATCACTTCACTGAAATATGTTTACCCTGCGATGAGATGGATAAAACGACTGGCGACTGCTGCTGCAGATAGAAATAAACATTGCACAAAATTGGACCTACAAACGTGTGGCCTCAAATTCTATTTTGAAACGCTTACATCAGGATAATCACTTTAGAACCTATTAAAACGAAGTGGTGGACGAGGTCGTTAATTAGTGGATGGAAGGATTATGCACGTGCCCCCCAAATTATTTTCTGAACAGAAATTATGAAGCCAGCTATAGAAGACACCACGACCGAGCCCACAAAAGCTAATATAATCATCTGTCGAAGTTCAAACTCGTTCCAAGTCATTCATAATTAGTCAGCTCACAAACCAGACATGTTGAAGGTAAGCAAAGTATGGCTTCGTAGGCGGAAATAGGTGTCTGCAAGTTTTCAATCCGATTTGAGCACCGGAATGGGGTCTAAGTAACTTGTTCCGTTCCTTGAACGACACACTGAGATGGGATACAGTCCAAGTATTTCTCATTATATGCGGCGTATATCCTCCCTCAAGAAATTTAAGTCAAGTATCTGACAGACCCCAAAATCCTTTGAAAATTCTGTGTAACAGAGCTTGGTGTTTCATTGACTAGGTTAGAGAAAACAATGAAAAACCGCGATAAATAGCCAGTTTGAAGCGATTTGTCTCGTTTAAACTAACCAATGGGTTGAAATAGCGATTTACCACTGCATCCATATAGCTTGTAATGCTGTAGTTTCAAAATTAATCAAGGTGCTCAAGCTGATGATCAGATGAAAATATACCCAAGGGGGGCAAAATTCAACGGTTTTTCGCGTTTTGGTCGACAGACCGAGCCGATATCACCAATTGAGTTTGTCATGCGTTTAATTCCATCCTGACACATCAAGTAAAGTACTTCATAGCTGATTTCATAGCTGTCTTAAATGCTTGCGAGAAACTGGAGGGTAAGAGGCATGCTGTTTTTCCTTCACAGTCCGTCGAGATATGATAACTAAATTTTATTCTTAGTAGGTTCATTCATTGTCGTGATCGGAATTACTTTGGAATATAGGTGGTGTGGAAAAATTGCGCAAAATCTGCATGCAACCAACTACCTGCCGAGTCTTAAGCAAGTTAAAAACCGCGGTGACCTCTCTGTTGATTTCATTCGATCACTCTACCCATAAGTTCCGAAAGCATAGAGAACTGTATTGTCATGAAATCGCTCTAGAAGTAAAGCAACATTGCATAGAATACGAAGGATCCATCAAAAATCGACTTCAGGAATAATGCGTGAACCTGAATTCGGAGGAATGCTTCCACGTGGAAGATTGGGCGAGATCTCAAGGAAAGAGAACGACAGGAGAACAGGCCTGTGGTATCCTACATAGATCGGATAGCAAGAGGAATGTGATAATTACAGATGGTAACCTGAATGCGTACACCGGGAAACTGTTTGCTTATTGCGCTCCATTAAAAGAGGAGAACATGATAACATCAATTACCTCTTTGGATTGTTGGTTCGGTGAACCAAGACACGGATGCTTTCGAGTGTGGTTGGGCTGCAGCCTCCGGAAGACAGCGTGTCAAGGGCATCAATTAAACTGGCTGACCGGGTTTGAAGTCGTCGTATTTCTTTGCATAAGACACTGAATAGTTCATATGTCATTGCGGAATCCCCTACAACAGTAAATTTTAAAAGATAGCTGAGCCAGCCTGAGATGATCCTTTCCATTGGACCAGTTCGCTAGAGTGCAGAACATCAAAAAATCAACCGGCGTAATATTAATGAATTGTCGGAAACCGGTCTAATGCATAAGAGGCGAAGAAATGGAGATTAACTAAGTCAGAATTCGGACATTGTGGGTAAAGGCACTGATTACTGTAGACGGATGACTTGTAAGTACGTCATAAGGCAATCGTTTATTACGCAGTCACAAAACGCGTCATAAAATAGGGCGCCACAAGTTTGCTCAAGCGTGTTCAATCAGTAAATGGTGTGAGCTGACCTGACCTGTACAGAGGACCGAATACAAGGAACTTTAGCAGCCATCCGATAGACCTAGGAAGCAATTCAGCTCGCACCGACCAGCGTGTTCAATCAGCAGATGGTGTGGGCTGACCTGACCTGTACAGAGGACCGAATGCAAGGAACTCTAGCGGCCATCCGATGGACCTAGGAAGCAATTCAGCTCGCACCGAATATCTTGAGCTTGAGTTGGATTTGATCAATTGACTTTGATATCAAATTAGACAAGAGGACTGACGTGTAAATCTGAAAAACAAGTCAAGATACCGTGGTCGTTTGCTACCAAATGGTCTTACTTAAATGTACCTGCTTTTACGCGCAGGATGGACCAGTCTTTTACAGTACAGATCTTTGCTACTGCATCTAATGCGCAGCTATCTACCTCATATCCTCAAACCATCGGCGAACAAAACTGCGGCAGCTAGAACCACTGGTCGTCGAGTATGCAGATTTTACAGCCGCTGTTGCCACTGAAGATGATGCTAAAAATACACTTATCTTCAACTACCATATCAGAATATATCATCATCAGCTTGTCCAAGCATTGCGATCAAACCGAGCAGGCCTCTGGTCCAAGCCTAACACGTTTCATTAGGGCGCCGATGATCCAGCCGCCGAAAGAGTGGAGCACATTGGTTCAGCTCACAACACAAATAACTGCGTACCGCTGTGGTGATATCGGTCTGTACGTCAATGCATCCTTAAAACAAACCAATAGACATCTGCAGGTTGTTTGAGAATGGCGGCTGTTGCTAAGGTGAAAGTCACATAACATGGGAGTGTAGCTTGCACTGTTCTGTAAAGTGTCCACTTGTTTGTTCCATTAAACAGCCGATGCCTCCACCTACTTTGTTACAAGGAAGCTAACGTTGGAAACCAGTTAGAATGGATAGGCAAGCAAAGCCAAACTCAAGTGCGAGTAACAGAGTGCTCAAACAGAATAAACGCTTATGACACCAAAGTATAACACTCACCTTCTAATCCGTAACACAGATTCTCTGCAGACCACTCTTGCCCGTTTCTTTTTGACACCGAATGCATATCAGTAAGATTGGTGAGTTTTTCTTTCAGCTGGTAGTTTGTCTTCAGCTGTAGCTGACGTTCATTGGCCCAGACCCGGGACATAAAATCAAACTAAATCGAGAAAAAGGGCTCAAAGTTACTAGATGCAAAACTATCCAGTCTGTGCTGTTAGCAATCCTGATTTGAATCACACGAAGAAAGCCGATGCAATGGACCATCAAGTATTTCAGCGCGCTTCAGCGTAACCTATTAACTCAACTGCCAGGGCTTTGGCAGAATGTTTCCACTCACTCAATAATGCTAACCGGTTTCTCATTAGGCACTTCCATGAGCTACGAACACTGGTAAACCACTAATTTACTTTCCACCCACTTAATCTGGAATAAGAGAGTGCACTTCTTAGAGAAGCGATGTTATTGTTCATTTCGTGAGAGCTCGTAGCTTCAAGGATTCGGTTCGTAGTGTGGATACTTTAGTCCCCTTCACACACTGTGCTGCCCCGGCGAAATTCTCACTTTGAGGAGCAGTGTGAATAAGGAACCGGTTCAGTGAGTATATTGAGTAGGACGGAACAAGTTCACTGGACCACGTGTCTGGAATGTCTTCGGTCGGTAAAGCGGTGTGTAAACAGCTTTTTTTAATGGAGAAATATAACACAGCCTAGTGCGACAGGTCCTTATGGAGTAGTAATCTTATCCAAAGGGACAAGACAGTCACATAAAACACAGTTCACAGAGGACCACAATGTTTGACTAGATTGATGAGGCAACTTCAATGACGTTATCGGTAGCCTCAGGCGGACCACACTAAGCTTACCAAACAGAGTGGAATACAGTACTGCTAAGGGACCCTCAGACTTACTTCGTCCATTAAACTTTTCAGCTCACGTTGTTTGCTTTCAACTAGTTGTGTTTGTTCAAGTTCCAAACTGTGCGCTTTGCATTCGAACTGTGTAAGCTGATGAATACGGAGGCTAATAAAGTCAATAAAGTAATTAAATCAAGCACACAACATACTTCACTCGCATAAGTATGGTCTGTCGCTGCTCTTTCACGGAAACTTTAACCTGAAATCGAGGAAAATGGGGAGTCAGTTTTCTAAGACATCCAAACAAAGGGTCACCGGTTGTTTAGAGGAGCTCACCACAAAGCACGTTCAAGAGCTATTCACATAAGACAATGCAATTCCCCTGCAGGAAAATTGGAGTGACCATCCTTAGGGTGATTACAGTGGGAGTCGCAGGTGACAGACAGTTCCTGGTACGCATCCTTTTGTGGAACGGTCGCTCTTCACATATACTTTTTCTCGGAGCTTACTGTAGCTTTGCGAGCTTGAAAATTAGGTGTGCTACAAATCACATCATTCATAGTTTGTATGTTCAAACTGAATCAGAAACCGGTTAACTTGTATCGGCAATGAGGCCAGTCAGCAATAATTAGCCATAACACGCGGTCATATCTTTACTTCCATCTCCATAGTAGCACACTGAATGTGCGGAGAGAATCGTTGAACGGGCATAATAGCAAAAATATTCATCTGAAATATTCTACTAACGAATGAACTGGAAATCCGATCTCGTCAATTGCTCAAACTTAAAACAGCCTGCTAAAAACTAACGAAACAAAATATAACGCGTGAGGTTGATAACTAACAAATACTACCGACATAAATTTTTGTCTAATCCTCCCATTTCTGGTCTATCACGTACTTAGTATCATAGAGCACTCAAGCGCGAACTGTATTCCCTCAGTTTACACAAAAGGTCTTATCCACTTTGTGGTCTAGATATTCATTATATCAAAGTGTGGGAAAGTAAAAAGGTACAACTAAACCCCGAGGGAACTAAACAAGCAGCTGGCGGAACAGGTGCCTCAAGCTTGATATCAATCAAACCAGGAGGCATTGCCTGTTCTGGAAGCTGCGACAGATTGACATTTTAGGGGCAGAACAATATCAGAATGCTAGATATTACATAGCAACCAGAAGAAGTTATAGAACGAGGGCGTTGGACAAATGATTGATGCAAAGATATTCCGAAAACGCCGTGGCCAATTAGGACCGGTTCGCTAAAACCGCAATTATGCCGGCAAATAGCTGTCCTGAAATAATATTCCCTTCTGTTGGTAGGGCTAATCTATACCGTATAGCAAGTACATCTTTAATGGAAATTACAAGCAGTGCGCATCTCACGAAACTCAGAGAGGATCGGACCCACGACCCGCCGAACGTTGGCTGAACATTCAGGGATTCGGTCTTGATCGGCCGAGTCGTAATGTGGGTATCTCTCAGTCGCAACTGAAAACTACAAAATCTCCTCACACTATGATCAAACATCCACTTAACTAGCCTTCCAGGACATTGGTCAATAAAGTGTGCTCAGTGACCGTGTGATCGTGCGCTGCATCGACTTTGCGCGTACAGACAATATACGACCTCCGGAAATGCTTCTGGTTGCAGCAAGTGTTGGTTACCTCCTACTGTTTGGTGAACACTGTGCCTTACGCACAGACTTGTATTCTGAGCTGATTAAGTAAGTCAGTCCATCGCCCCTTCCTTTTGAATTTGTTGTGATGAGGTCTTTCGGAATCTCCATACAAATGTCAGATAATCGACACATTGTGTGGATACACTTATCGGGCAAAAGATGCAACAGCTTTCCAAATTAAACATCCAAATACAACCAACTATGGCCAAGTTCGACCGCATTAATATACCTCAGAATTCGACAATTTCAAGACCGGGAGAAATGACTCTGGGAGCTCTTGAACAATACAAAAATCAGATTGAAATTGCTGCTCACCTTCCAGGCGTTGATATCTTCCTTCAGCCGCTGCAGCACTTTTCCGAGGAAGTCAATGTGCAGTTTCGAGTTCTTTGAAGCACTTTCAGCTGTCCGACTACAATGCGTTTGCAAACAAAAAAATGGTTCGACAATTGTTAGGATCTGAAACCGTTTCGTGAGCTTACCAGGAAGGTCCACACAGACTATTTATCCAGCACAGAGTTCCTTCTCAACTGACACTCAAAAAGACGTTGCACATCTGAGCGCCAGATATCCGAGTAACCAGTCACCACCAGCTTACCTGACGCGAACTGGGAGAATGAAGACTATTGTTGTAGCATCCTGCCTACGGTGGCTTATTCACGCAGCTAATAAGCTACTCGTAGCTGAGTAGTGTAGTGCTCATCTACTAACCCTAGAGATACGCAATGTTGATGACATTCGGGTTTTATAGCATAGAGTAGAGCCGTGTGCAGGATGAAAGTTCATCTGATGCCTTGAAGGTTTACACGTAATAACATGAAATAGCTAAAAAATATTTAGCAAATTAATACAAACGGATGATAACAAACGTTACACGAAACCTATGGTCTTGAAGCTGAAACCAATACGATTCGCTAGGGCGCATCACACCCACCACCACCATCGAGGGAACCACTTGTTTCACCCCCTCAACTCTTTTCAAATGAACAGAATACCTGAAGTATGTATTGACAGATAGGGAGCAACACATTGATCCCTACGGAAAAAGGGCACGCTCCGAACTTTTGTAGAGTTAATAACGTCGCAGTCAGTAAAGATTTGTTCGTCTTTGAGAAAACTAATCTGGAGTCCAACCAAAGATCACCTGGGACTACTGCTTGTGAGTCGTTTGGGACACCCAGTAATTTGAAACCTCTGTACGTATAAAAATCATTCCCAGTGAAGGCAGGAGATGATGTCCGTAGGTATAGGGTGGAGTGCCTTATCAACACGCGAGGGTTCATTTCATCCTTTAATTTCCCGTGATTCTCACTGATACTCACTGGCAAGTTTTGTGCCAAGGATAGTAAGGTAGATTGCTTTTTTTTTGCAATGGACCAGATCACTTTTTGAGTTCCTTTTCGATATATATCATGAAAGCTTTACTTGCTAGTGGCACATGAAGTTCACCTCTGGGAATCAGAGCATAGCAAAGTTTACTACTTGATGACCCAATAATCCCCATGAAATGCCATTCAGGTTTCTGCTGAAAACCCACTGCATCAACCAATAGGGGGAGGTGGGGCGTAACCCAGATGCGAACATATCCGCATATGTAAGCGCCGTTGTCACGATAATGACAGCAGGATAAAAGCAGATCACGGTTCGTTATCACAAGCTATCGCATCATCACAGCCCGTAAAACATGTGGGCAGTTCCACTTTCCTCAGCCTGAAGACCGGTCATTGTGAACCGGTTAGAGGAGCGAGAGCGGTTTCCTAGTTAGGGATGTTTTGCAGAATTAATAAAAGTTCCATTGTGTTCCGATGTCCGATTCCTCTCTGATTGTGTCCAAAACTTGCATTCCACATTCAGTAGACAGAACTGGCCATAGAAGGCACACCTAACGGGCAGTTCTGATGTAAGTTCCGCAGTTTGACCAGCTCTCACTGGCAGCATAACCGAAATTCATTAGGATGTTTGTGTTGGGCTGTGTTCCATCTCTTCTTCTCAGATGATATTCATCTGATATTATTATTGGGAGGAAATTATCTGCCTAGCCCCGAGGGAGAAATTCAGGGGTGAGAAGACCTTTACACGAGAGCATTCACGGGTCTGCCCTATGTCTGCCCTTATCCCAATGGGTTATTCTTAATGGTTCAAGGAAGTGATGCAGGATGGGGGAGACGGCGTCACGTTCATCACCGTAGCGACAGCGCCGGTAGTTCTATCCCGTAAAACGATAGTGCATAGCATCCAATGTGGAATGGTGGTGTTGTCCATGGTTGTACAAAAGAGAAGGACTAGATGTTCGGGCATAGGAGACAAGAATATACAGTTTAAAAGCCTGACCGCAAAGCAAATCCAATAAACGCAAGAGAAGGACAACAGCCTGGTGCTTACCGTACAGGCCGCCAGATCTATTTAAACCAAATCCTACAAAAACTGACGGTCCAGGAGACTACTCTTTACGCCCCTCATTTTTCATTAACTCGCGGATATTGCTTCCAAATCCCTTAGTGTAGCTGAGTAAGTTACCTGAGTCTTGAGGTCAGGCATTGTCACTCTCCGGCGGGTAATTCAACAAAATCAGGCGGAACTCTGCGCGCGAAGATATTTGCTTGTTCGGACACGATAATTCAAGTGCATTCACTGGCGGAGTGACATGACCGCGCTGGTCAACAATCTCAGATATCCGTAATTTACTCCTGGCACGGCAAAATTTCTGTCCTTTTGGCTTGACAGTATGACCAAAGTGACGAAAAAGGACTTTATCTCATCGTCATCTGTTTGAGACCGTTCTGTCTCTCCTGGTTCCCCTAAGACATACCTGGAATGTAAGTCTGTCCCTTTAAGAAAGATAATCAGACAAAAATCTAGCAGAGGTGTTTCCAGTTTACATTAGCGTGTATCCTTAGATAATATTTTTATTTTTTTCTTACACTGGGATTACGATGGTTCGATATGCAGACTGTTTTGCTTCCACAGATCACTGACCAGACTCAAACAAGTGCCTGACCTCAAGCGAAATTCTCCAGTGTGGCAAACACAGGAAAGAATGAATTATGCATCATTTCCTTGCAATTTCATTTTTTGGTGGAAAAGGGATGTAAATGGGAGGAAAACTCCATTTAGTGTGAAAACATTAATCTAGCGTCTTAATTTACTAAGTGTCGACGAACTGGTGTTGTCCGTGTTTCCCGATATTTGTTCTCCTAGTAGGCCGGTTTATGATACCGCTTCGTATGTTTAAAGCGCCGAGGAACTGTGTCAAAGCCCAAGAAAAAAGCGCACGTTTTTATTCTGATTAGGGGAGTCAATATCATTATTGTTCCAGGAAGCAATTCGATACTGGTGAGTCAACGCTTATGCCCCACGAATTACAGTCGAGTGGTTGAGAATATATGTCACAGCCTTCGCTAAGGTTTCTCCCTGATATGGATGGTGAGTAAAATACAACCCGAAGCCAAAACCTGGGAATTTTAATAAAATATCTTCGTCAAACATAAACCAGTTTGAACCATTCATCGGCTTCAGCAAAAATATCACGTGAACTCCAGTACATCTGCAAAATTAACCAACTGACTGGTGAGCCGTTTAGCAGCAGGTCAACAAGTCATCGCATCCAAGAAAATGTCAGAATTAATGTGACCATAGAAAAATTACGTCGCAAGAAGATTACGCAGTTACGTGAACTGAAACAAAGGGTGGTCTATAAGGCAGTGGAGGGGGTCATTTCTTAAGGACGATGAAGTATATTCTGGATCCGCTTCTTCGTCCAACCGTAAAACCGTGTGAACTTATGTGAATAACGACGAGTAATAATGGAGAAAATAGCGCACCTCCACCACTCTGCTGATATGTATCCATTAGAAGGTGGCTGACCTGAAGATAATGCACACTGACCGTCTTTTGTAAGGAATACCATTCCGTTTTGCACTTGAGTTTTTTGTTTAGAGAGCGAAATCCAAAGAAGCAATAAAAACGTGATGTAACACGTCACTATAAGTCTACGGGAGAGAAACCAACTACTGAAATATTGGTTTAGTGTCTTCAGTTTTCACAAACTGACGATGGACCTACTCCGTTAGTTCTTGGAAGATGCAAAGGTCATCTTTTTTCAATCGTTTCATCGCTTTTTGAGTTTCTCTTATAGATGACACCTCATTGATTAGTGATTCATGCACCCTATACCTCCACTATGCTCACTTATGGTTCATTAGTACCTACCATTTCGACTTTTTCGAATTAAACCAGCAGTTTGTCGGTACAGTCATCAGTACGACTCATTGCACTGCCGTGGAGCAGCTGAAAAATGGGAACTTCCAGTATTTCACCTGCTTTGAAATCAGTGAACCTTATTCATATTGCTTTATGTATCAAAATAAAATGAGTTTAGGCTTTCGAGTGGAACCTTTACCCGAGAAAACTCGCCAAAACTCATTCCTCAAAAGTGCTTCTAATTCTGTAGTTTAGCGTAAAGAGGTACTGTATTAAAACCAACAAATAAATCCAAAAGCACCTACAATTTTTCGACAAGCATGTGAGCTTCTTTTACGGGACGGCTGGAGAGGTGAGCAATTTCAGCTCGGATGACACTCAGTTCCGTAGCCAGTCGATGGTTGGAGCTTTGGGTCTGATTCACCCGTGCAGCTTGCTGTTCGTACACTGCAAGTAGCAGCGTGGGTCGATGTACAAGCTATTTAAAGAAGTATGGTAAACGATCAAGTGACAATCATGGTGGCCTGATTTAGCAGCTGTGTCTATTATTCATAAAGGCAAAGAACTAAATCAAGTGATTAAAGTAGAAACTCGTCATTTTGAAAAACATTGTATTTCTAAACACCGTATCTTGGCGTAAACATAATGCGTGAGCGGTGATTGAGAGTAAACTAGCGACGCTCAGTGTAACTTCACGATTGTTTGTGCAGGTAAATAAAGTGTGAGGAACACTTTATGGCATGTGAACAGAAGGAAAGCTAATCAGCTGCGTGCATGATTGAGTGCTGTTAAATGTCAGAACAAAATAAAAGTAAATAAATGTTTATAGCGAGCTGAGGGATGAAAGGGAGAAACCGTTGATTATAAAGGTCGCAGAGTAAATAAAGTTTTACTGGAGCGTGGATCAATTAAGATACATTTAATAGAATCAGGATAAGCTGTTCTTTCGCAGTTGGATGTGTACGAGTTGTACCATTAGTGAAAACTTTCAGAAATGACGTTACATTTAGCCATTTATCTCAGCAAAATGCTCGCAAAATTATAACGGAGGTAAGTTACAATATGTGATGACTAGTGGTATACTCAGCACCGGTTTGCGAACACGGTGGGTGTAATTGTGATTCCAAACTGACATCAGAATGCAATATTCGGCCCCCGTGTTATTGGGACGTTCGAACCCCTCACGTGCCCATTATATACAGGGATCTTCACTGTGTGAATAACAGTTGAGTCATTTGTCAGTTGTGATGGCCTTTGGTGGGTGGGTGTGAGCGTAGGCAACACTGGGTTCGAATGAAGAATGCTATCAAATTTCGGGACAGGACATAAATCTACCTTGTCTAGTTGGACGTTACTCCTGGTCAAAGTCTGTCATTTCTATTATGGTAGAATTGTGATATAAAAAGTGAACTGCCTGAAGTGCAAAACTGAGAGAGAGAGAGATGTAATCATCGTTGTATCACCCGAGTGGTGGATGAAGTTTGACGAAGTCAGTGGGACTGAATATTTATGTGAAAGCAAGCATTCCTGTGCAATGCATGAAGACGAGGAACGTTTCAAGGACCACTTTATCCAAACTCTAAAATGGTAAATCCAGCAATGCAGCGTACCATTTGGACAGAGTGAAGATGATAAGGAAGATAGCTTAGACTGGGCAACTCACACACTGGCGCACCTACTGGCAGAACATTAGGGTATAGAAACGTGGATTGAAAATTCATTGAGCGGACTTGTGTCCCGCAACCCTTGCTGTCATGAAGGGTTAGATAGCCATGTTCGATGGAGAATAGTATGAAAGATCCGGTATGAATGTCAGTCTTGCAGTGCCGAGTCAGAAGGTTAAGCTTACACGGTGTTGAGTCACTAAACTCTACCTGCTTGAGTAGTTAACTGAATTACTCATTATCATCCCGCATGTACATGCCACTGAACAGTTTGTCGAATTTTAAAAAGACCTGTGTATGCAGCTGACTGTGTGGAGATCAGATCAGCCATGGTATAAAGATTACTAAATGGAAAGGTCCATATTATCGACAATGTAAAAAATAGTATGCCCAAAAAGGTGCGTTGAATGTCGAAGAAGAGATTTGGATGCATGACTTCAAAACGTATGCTTTTTCTGCTCCCTAAGTGATTCAAAGTTTAACTACCACAGACGTCCTACGGTCTTTTCATTAACCTTGATGGTTGTTGTTTTTCGTTCGAACTCCAGGTACATAGGCCGAAGAAAATGCAAGATAGTTCAGGGGAACAGAATAATTTCACTACGGTTGCACGCGCTTTGGTTAATAAATGGGATCTTACACGCCGAGTATGGCCTTGAATTAGTAATCTGAGTGTTGATCTCTACACATCCAAGCCCGAAAACATTTACTATTATGAGAGAATTTCGGGCACCGGCCTTAGTCGGCCATAAAGCATTTAGGTGCTTGTATTAGAATAATGTGTTTGGGTCTCGAAAGGTAGTCCAATAGAGGATTTGTGAGTCAATTTCAAGCCTTGCCAAATTGGTACAGTCAAACTAACAAACAGCTGCGACGGATGTCAACAAACTGTCCATTCTAATGCACAACACGGCAAAGTGTCTCAACGAAAACTCCACAGTAAGACTGACAGCCATCGTTCTCATCACCGTATACATGTTGTAGAGGGAGCCTTATCGCAGGATTTTAAGAGACATTGTTAAACGGCTAAGCAGAATATATGTGATGATCAGAAATGCTAACTACCAGCTATAACCTATTTACCTAAGACATAGAAAGCTGCACTTTATAATTCATCTTATAAAACTGCCTGTCATCTGTCCTTGGATATTCACCATTGATGGGTCGGTACTAAGCCGAAAACTAATCTCAAGAACCGTGCTCATTTTTGTGGCCTAATGCGTGATTTTTATATTTCTAGTCTCTATAAAAGTACTGATATCACAACAATCCTCCTACAAAGCAATGCACATCCTCAACACCACGCCCTTCTTTTAAATAGATCTGATTAGGACAGAAGCAAATACAAGTTCAGACTCAAGAGTTTCCGAGTGTTTCTCGTTTCTAAATCTCTGAAACCAGACAGGTAAAAAGCCTGTGTTGGAAAACTTACTCCGTCAATTTCATCCTGTTCCTTGAAAAGGGCATCCAGCTGAAAAGATATCCGAGTAAGAGGTAAATATGCAATTTTACCAAAAAGCGGGTATGGAATTTAGGTCAAAAATATGTTTGTACCATTCGGATGCAACAGTAATCTCGACGGGTGAAAAATGGGTGGACATGAAAGAAGGGGAAAACTGAAGAAAACTGAGGTCTTTGCTATGAATACGATGACTTGATACGAATTGGGAACAAAATAAATAGCTGATTGAAATTGCGCCAAACCCCACCGATAAAAAATGTCAGAAGTAAAACGAGATAAACTAACGTAAAAACATTCTGGTACGTGACATATTTTGAGTAGCTTCTCACGTCCCTCTCGTCAAATGGCGCCTAGTTTTGCGAGCTTTTTTCTCCTTTGCATTTGGGGGATTTTCACGAATTTCTATCGTCTTAATGTCCACTGACTCGTTCGATGAGCTGAGCAGTTTTCTTTTAAAAACACCTGGAAAACTGACAACCAGCTTTGCACTTCCACTCTGGGCTCTTTAAGTTGGTGAATATCCCCAGATTAAGTCAATCCAAATCGGACGGAAATATGCAGGAGGACAGGTGTAGTACATTCAGTTGAAGAAAACCATCGATGGATTCAGCTGGATGCAGGTGAGTCCCCCACCTATACCAAATTAGTTTGCAAAAATGACAGCATCTGCAAAATTTCGTCTAATTTGGGTTCAATTAGAACACAAAGTTGACGCGAATTAAAAAAATACGTCTAACTGGTGAGATCAAAGCAGAAGAATGGCGAAGCCGCTCGTTGGCTGTTTAAGGGTTTCCAAGGACTTTATGAATGGTATGCACGTCTAGACTGAGCGGACATAGCTTTGAGATTGGAATTTGGTTTGTTTATTAACAATAACAAGAAAAGCGAAAAAGTGTCTCTGAATAGCCAAGGTTTTTTTTCTGGATAAGCTCTTCACTATAGAGTTTTATTAGTTTTTATTTCTTATATTAAACTTCTGCTTTCCTCAAAAAAAGAAACTTTTGTAGTGAGACGCCGTAGGGCAACACCGCGTTTCGACAGCTCAGATGTAAGAAACTCCATCGAAGGTCGTCGCATCCTAACAGCATTTGCATTCAAGGACATAGAAACATCAGATCGAGGGAGGTTTTATTTCGGGATAGGTTAACTGCACAGGAAATTACCAAACAGCACTGGTGGCAAATGTTAGTAACAATATCCTTCCGAGCTTACATTCTGATGAATAACACTCCGGCAAACTTTTATTTTTCCCAGTAGTGCCATGTAGTGATTCTGCTGAATGGAAGTCATCTTCAGTTTTCGAAGCTGATATTCCGTGAGGACGGGTGTTGGAGATCTAAGTTTGAAATCTGGGAATTCACTGAAAGAAAGAACAATGTTGGAGGGAATGAAGTTGTGGCTTGCACTTCAGAACTTAATCCATAACTCAAAATTCATATGGGCGTTTAAAAATCAACATTAACACGTTGTTCGAAATCACTTCAGGTTAAGAGACAACAAGTTCTTATTGTGTATCGTTAAGACTACGACAAAGTAAGACAAAACAATACATATTTGTGGAAGATGGACGTATTCAATCAGGATTGACCGGAGGGTCCACAGTGCTTCACAGCGCCCAACAAATTAAACTCCCACTTTTGTTTAAAAGCATGCGAGTAGTATGTGCTTGGAAGGAAGCAATTCGGCATACGCTGCTTGTGATCGGCCCTGAACCAAGTTGATAAACCGTGCTCGTTCACGAAGGCAAATGGTCGACACGTCATTTTGGCAGGCAGGCAAATGTGGGGAGCATGGTTTTTGAAAGACCTTCCAGGTTTACTACGACAATTTCGTACATGAGGTTACTATGTATATGGGCAACATAGCTGTTAGTCTAGGAAGTAATGACAAGTGCAGCCAGTTGATTGCAAAGTCTAGTGTCTTAATTCAGAACAGTCTTCCGGAACGATAGTGAACACGCTTCATAGACTGTTTGGTTTGACCAACTCCATATAGTCTCTTCCATGAGATTTTAGTCCGTTTATATGAGTAGTGTGGTACGGCATGTGTGACGATTCCAGCTTTTATGGGGATGTATTTCAACATTCAGCAACTAAAAATGGCAACAAAACCCCAAAGTTTAGACTCCACAAGTTACTTCAGGCTCAGTCATTCCCGTACCTTTGCAGTACACGAAAATATGACATCTTATTTTAAAGACGAACTAATTCTTCTGGGTTCTCAAGAGTGATTTGCACCAAGCTTCTCGAAGTTCGGGTAAGCGAGCAATAAGAACCGATTATAATAATTATTTGTATGACTTCACTGGACGTTGGGTGTTGCATCAATAAAAATTAAGCTTATCTGACTGAATTACTGGAGCACTTCGTAAGATAACAAAATCCGTATTCACCTTGACCATAATCGTAGTGCAGTTGTTCTGGTCAGTTCCAACAAAATGGGAAAGAACTGAACCCGTACGCAGCAAATATCCGCGAGTTATTAAACTTGGATATCTGAAGTGCAATGCTAGTGTGTTGTCAATATTCCACAAGGTCATGTCGGGCACACCTAAAACATCAGGTCTAATTAGAGAAACGTATTCACCCAAAGTCAATAAAACTAGCTTACGTAAAGGGTAAAATCTGAGCTAGAAAACTGCTCCGGTTTTAGTTGTGGGATGTATATAGTTCACCTTCACATCGATCTTGCCTGAGCAATCTCCCTCCGATTTTAGCGCAATTATTCCGATTAATCCACACCAAAAAGGAGAAGCACTGAAGACGAGTGTTTCGAAACGAGATACGATCAGTAATTGACCGGCGCTACATAGAGCTATGGTGATGGAGTCTATCTGTGTTGGGGTTTGGATTACATGCAAGGGCAGCATGTGGCCAAGCGACTTCACTCCTTCCGGAAGTTAGGACTGCACAGAAACAGTGTGGCCAATAAATAATATGAGAAGTTCGTCGTTGTCCGGGCGTCTTGATTGCAGACCTCGACGACCACTTAATAGGACCTGAACATCACCAAGTCTACCTACTGGTGCATTCATAGCCCCACAACAGCAACAACGTATTAGTAGGAACAATGCAATCAAGGTGTCGTAAAGGTTGTCTATCGGAGCTAAGAGTCTGTTGAGGGCATGAGCAGATACGATGAAAAGTATGGAATTATTTGAGCGTTTACAGGATAATCTCACATGCTTTGCCAAACGAACCATACAGAAGAGACTATCAACGGACAAGCCTTCATCTCGGTGGTTTAGAATAAAACCAATACAAACAGAACAAGCAGCAGCGGCTTCAGGACCACCAGAAGTGCGGAACCAGAAATGAGCGGAAACCTATAGGGGTTCAGATACCTGGGTCTTTTTTCAGAGAGGCAGCAAACATCAATAGAAAGCAAGTCCGGCGTAGGTAAAAGAGTAATTCTGCTGTCCAGAATGTTCCAGAGTGCGAATGGTAAAGGCTGCCAGACGAACTGAAGGACAGGGGCTGAAGAGTGATTTTGAACTGTTTCAGGTCGTGGCGACCGAGTTAAGCATGGATATTGCGGCAACCGACAACGGGTGGTAAACAGATCTGTTAGTGCTCCAGAGAGATGTCGCTGGCAGCTAGGTGAGGTTGGGGTGAAGAAGGAAAATCTGAAAGACGTAGTAAGAGGCGTCGGCAATAGGCTTTTTTTGCTTATTTTCCCTGCTGTGCGCCGAAAATAGGGCGAGCCGGTTGATGGAATCACGTGACGGCCGACTTGACGTGAGATTGAATGTAGATGTGCGATTCACGATTGTGGTCTGTTGGGATACTACCAGGGCATCCAGACCTAGAAAAGGGGACAATCAGGATCCTCAACCAAAGCCTTCCGTCCTAAAGCCTGACTAAAACGCAGTGATGGTTGGCTGAAAATCATCTGGGCAGCCTCCATTTTTACGGTGCAAACCGCTAAACACGTTTCACCCCTTAACCTGAAGGATCAGAAAACTGTTTCTCGGGGCTCGTCCCATTGGCCAACCTGAAATAGGAGTGTGGTACGTATGAGCATCATACATACACTCCTAAGCACAACTCAGGGATTTATGGGGTGCACAAACGGTCACAACGTTGTAAGATCAAGCGTCTTCGTGACGTGTAACCACTGAACTGCGCGCTGCTGTCTCCTCAACTGGATATAAAACGTTAGGAAGCTAACTTCGAAACTCGGCGAACCAACGAATCGCCATCCGTTCTGGGTTCGAAGCGCTGTGTGATCACAAATACATACATCTGATAGGCCTTGATAGGAGACAACCTCCAGTCGCATGATTCCTTATTTTGGTTGGAAATAAAGAGAATAGACGGGCCAGGGTATGTGTTTTGCTGTCCAACTGAGATATTTCACAACTCCAAGAACTAACAATACGACGCTGAAAAACAAGTCGTCTTCAAACGGGCTCATCGAAAATGTCGACAAGACGATTCATATTTATGTTGAAGCATCATAAGCCTGAATGTTTCCTACCTTGAAGGATGAGGCGGGATCTCGAAAAATCAGACCATCTAGAAACTATCGTCCGTATTAGGACTAAATGGTAGACTAGTCGTGTGGTTCTTTGATTGATATTTTCAGACTGCTAACTTCAGGACCACCTGCTCGTTCACCGGAGTGCTCAGCTGGACTGTGAGTCTGAAAAATTAAACCTTGATGCAAGTGACAGTTGACGTGGTTGAACTACCGAAAAGAAAAACTCTTGTGAGAATGGAATGTTTGAAATCAGAAGAAAACTCACTTCTAATTATAGTGTCAAAAGGCGATTTGTCTATGTTAAAAGCTCTTTTGAAAGTACACACCCCTTAGCCTTGACGTTTCTATTTACACAAACATACGTCAAACGTCTACCTGTAGTTAGCTGATAGTTGACAAACATTTTGACACTCAATTCTCAAGCGTACAAAGATTTACTCATTTTGGCGGCTTATAATTCCCTCTGAACTAGAACCTCTCAACTCCATTTATAAAGTTCCCTCCATACAAAGAGCCCATTAAGAAAACTGCAGTGCCGACAATGGCGTGAATCGTATTTTCTATCTTTAGCTTCATTTCAATGTCATCTCACCAGTTATGCCTGCATCATCCAACTAGAGGATGAACTATGAAGAGTCAAAACAGTCATCTCGCGTGAGTAACTTGGTCTTCTGCTTTCACTTTTCAACTTGCGAGGTTTCTTGTGGCCTGCTTCTTCAAAATTCCTCCTACCACGTTACCTTGCTCCTTATAGACGTAACTGGAGTTCTGCTGTTGATGTCGTCGAGAAGAAAAGTTGTTCGTTCACCTATGCTTCTTTTCAAGTATTCAGGTGAAATACCGATGTAAGCGCAGGATTGCTACAGGTACCCTAATGTCGCTTCCTCTGTGAAAGGGACTAGAGTATACATAAAAATAGACATGCATTTTTGTTGATGAACACGGATTAGTAATCGAGCGATCAACATGCAACTGAAGGCCAAATGGTTATTCGAACATAGCAAATGAAAGTGACTGGCTCAGTAACAACTAAAGAAACGCCAAACATTCAACAGTAGCTGTATTTCTTACAACACAATCTCTGTTATCTTTTGCATTCAATTCGGAGGGACAATGGTTTGGAAAAGTTGTTTCCAGACGACATTTGTGGAGTTCACAACATTAAAAAACGCGAGTTCCGAATTTCGTACAGACTATGATTCAGCAGTCCCCGCAGTCACATTAGGACACTTTACACTAGGATTAATATGAAAATTAAAACCGAAAATAGCGGGTCGTCAAGCTGGACATCTCATCTAACTCAACAAAGATGTATCAGTCAGTGTTTACCGGAAACGAAAATTTGTTTTTTTTTCACTGGCAAAAAAAACAAATTGCCGTTGGAAATATCGGTATGGTCGTTGAGCTTACCTCATCTCTCGTACTTTCGCTTCGTCGTCTTCTGTATCCCCCTCGGGCAGGACGGAATTTCGATCAGCCAAAGCAACTGTGGACTCAGCTGTCTGAGAACGAAAAGTAACATGACTAATTAATGAGGTAGAAATCTACGCCTACTAGGCAAGATTTTACACAAGGGATAGACAGTATGTCCAATTCAAAATAAGAATAGCAAACTTAACAGTGCGGTATTAAGCGTACATATTTAGGGCTCGCTTGTCGTGTAGAGCGACGCCGTTCATCCTGAAAAAGTCACCTATTGGGATGATATGATGAACGCACAAGCTCATCTAGACAGTGACCTCCTTGGAATACCATCTAACATGAGATTGGCGGGGGTCAATCTTGTGGAGCCTCTGGATGTAATTTTAAGGATAGTTACGGTACTAACTTGGTACCTCATTGCCACTGCACTTGTCGAAAAGATGCAGCAGAAATTAATCTATAAAGCATAAACGACTGAATAAACCAGACGAATGACACAATTCCAAACTGGGCTACAAGCCGCTGCTGCTAGAAACGATGGGTTGAAAGTCGCAATTAAACTGACTGTTCGAATGAGTTCGTTAGTCTTGTGAGATAGAACAATTTTTATACAAAATAGTTGGCCTTGTTAGCAAAATGGCTGAATGTGGATAACTGGGGTTACTGAACAACAACAGCTACTATAAGCTTGCTTCACTGCTGTTGAGAGACTTGCGATTCTACATCACCAGTTGATCATCGGAGGACATCTATGTTGTTTAACACAATTTTCGCTTACAGATGCTAAAAGTACTGTGAACAATCAGTAGGCTGCTAGTTGTTGTGTCGTAGGGTACAGGAGTTCGCTTCTGATGTCCGTGAGTTGAGTGAACACCGGAAATAGTGTTTTAACTTCGTATATTACTAGGAGACATTTCAGATAATGATGCGAATCACCTACGTTTGACTGTCGAGTCCCTGGTCTATGAAGAAACTGCAAGCAATTGTGACCAGAGTATCGGTAAATTTCAATTACTCAACAAAACGTGTATGAACAGATTTCTCGGCACTCATATATGTAGAACTGGAATCGTCCAATGTTGGACTCCCAAACTTGTTGCTTCTCATTGTGCTTGGGCATTTGGTGAAATTCGAACGAGGATGACATTGCGGTGTAAGTTTGCTGAACTTGTGTGTTACAGGGTTTCATAACCAAGAACTGAGGAGTGATCACACTGCGCAGCTAGCAGTAAAAGCTACCTAAAAGTCCGGGTAGGGTGCCCATTTCGCCCATGACCATGGCGGGTGACCAAAATCAATGAGAAAAGATAGGCCATCCGGAAACAAATTGTCGGAATTTGAAAAGCATGGAGAAGAAGAAACAACACAGGTTTTGCCTAATGGTCACTTTAGGGCTAACATTGAGCTGCACTTATTCAACCAGAAGTTCCCATTAGTCGCATTTCATTTGAAGCACCTGACGTCAGGGCAGTTCATAATGTTTCAACCTAATTCAGGGGACCTTGAAGATTTTATCAGCAGATTATTCGGCCTGATAAGCAGTACACATCCAGTCAGCGGGATAAAAAAATTAAATCAACCTCTTTATGTTTTTAGTTCTTGTATTCATTTATACAGTTGACTCAATACCATCAGCTTGAATCCGAAAGAGCTGGAAATTAGAGAAATCCATCAGTCGTGTATTACGATCAAATGCCTAGAGTGGCGTAGCGTGGATCCTTTTTCAAGCGTGTTCTTTTGTCATCATTTTCTCCATAAAGTATCAAAACCAGTATTTCTCTGCAACTGAAAGAATATACATCCACAATAATTTTACCAGTGATAAAATCGTATGCCCGAGACATCTCATTTTGCAACTATTGAGATACACTGAACCTCGAACGCTTCCTATTTCCATATTAGTCAATCGAAACCAAGGAACATTTCCCGCTGCCAGGAATGAACTCAGGGTGTAACAAGCGCCTCCTGTAAGTGAGGATACTTACGGTATGCGGACTGATACTGTTTGGAACAGAAATGTTTGACGATTGTATCCGCTGATGAAGTTTCTTCATTTCAGTCCAAAGGCGTTTCGTGCGTTGAAATTCTTCTGCCATTCGGGACCGCAGCTGCCCGAGTCGTGATTCATTGAAAAACCCTGTCTGTGAAAAAAGTTATTCGTCATTACCGGGGGGCTCAATGCTGTCTACTTCTGTATAGGTACTGGTGAATGTGATAGGAATTACATGGTACTGTAGTAGCAGGAGATGGTTTTTCCCCTACCATAGTGAACTCTATCGTTTATCCTGTTGCTGGAAATAGGTCTCAGTGGGTCAGCTTGGGTTCACACACACCGTGGCAGACACTGCTCTTTCGAATGAAACATAATCCACTAATGCGACGGATGGTGGACTGTCAGAAAACTCGGTTGATTGCAACCCATTTTGATGGATATTAGTAGTCACTGGGAACATTGACCGTTTATTACACTGAAACTCCAAGTGGAATTTGATGGAATTTATGTTGGTCTCGTAAAAAATCAGAATGTTTCTGTTGATGGGCCATTGGTTTGACATGAGGAAACTTGCTCTTCCTTCGACCTGACGAATGGTCCCACCGAAAATGAAATAAGGACATCTTACTAGACAGGACACACTACCCGACTACTAACACTTCCATTAGCCTGCTATGGGGTTCCTCTGTCTTGGAGCTCGTCATGCGATCAATGTCCCACGTTGGAAATCAAGTGCAATTGCATCCCGGTCATTTGGCCGATCAGCCGAAACACCACCATCATTCTACACCAACAGGATCAATTGATTTTTGATATGCATAAAATAGTATAGCAGTATGAGGGGTGAACCCAAGAAGCAACTACTGTATCGCGTATAAGTAGCTTAAAACCGCCGTTTTCTGGCGTAAGTTCCTTTCAAAAGGAAGCTGCTAGTAGATTGAGGTCCCGTTTGAGGAAAATCACATTTTAGACTCATCAGACACTTGGCTTGGCCAAGTATTCCACCTTTGGTGTATACAAATACAAAGCTTGTTCCGCAAGGAAAGTATTTCAGTGCGGTTTCCATTGCAACAGTTCATCCCTCACAACTTCGTTATTCAGGTGAATTTTGAAGGGACTGTAATTTTTTCCACATTCCAGTTATCAAAAACACTGAACCAAGAACACTCAAACTCCCATTATTTTTGTTTTTCTACTGTGCATATGAATCCCAAAAACTTAATTTTTCAACGTTCCGAAGACAGAATTCGGCATCAATTAGCAAGTGTTCCTCTCTAAGCGTCTTAGACGTTCACATCCTTATTGTGCCCTTAATTATTGAACTTAAAATGGGAATCTAAGTTGCGGTAACTTTTCTCCTTGTAAAAGATGCTATGACGAGCCAATTTCCATAAACTACAAGGCTTCAGAGATACCTTCACCGCTGACTAGGAAATGGGACTGTTAAGGTGGTTGTCTTAATAAATTGACAACCAAATAAAATGATCCACGGTTTCACTAGACGAATAAGAAAACTAATAAAGACGGTAGCAAAATGCAACTTCTTAACAAGGTAGCCGTGGTTAACCGATGAAGTATCAATTTAGACATATTCCACAATAACAAGATGAAATAGTCCAGGTTGAAAACAGTAATCCAGTGAATGTGGCTAGTAAGTGGTCTAAACAATCATAAGAAATTACTGAGAACCAAGCTCAGTATCAGTCAGATTAAGAACAAAACAGTCTTAAAAGTTTTGGCGGCTCCTTCGATTTCTTTAGAAAAGAGGAGAAAGAATATAGAAATTTAAGAAAGTTACTATCATGAGGCATATACTCAAAGCTTCTCGTTAGACAACGCTAGCCGCCCAGAGCTTTGCCTGTTGCATCATTAATTGCCAACCGCCTCACGAGTGAGAAGCTTCACCCTGGTTCCAATGAACAACATCAATCCCGTGCGGAGGGGTTGAGGAAAACCCTACAGAGTTCTTCAGTTGAGATATTTTGCGAGACATTCTCGTACAGTTCCTGAATTTTTACGTGCAAAAATTAGTCCTCAACGTTTTTCGAAGTGATTTAGTATTTTGTGCATTTGTTGCCGGTGTACAATCTTGCGTGTAAGCACTGATGCAACCAGTTGAAGTTTTTTTCCGGAAGTTATGCATTTGGAACAGATAATTAGATCACAAATGGCCGTAAAACAATCGAAGTCGTTAAAAAGAAGGGTTGGAACTTCCAGTTGACTTGTTGTCAGACAAAATATCGTGTCGGGCCATCACAAAATAGATCCCACCAAGGCGTCATTTGTTAGCATCCGGGAAAGAGCTCCTCGAATGAATATAAGAGGTGGTGAAGTTATGCGGTGATAATGAGATATAGGGTTGTCTCATAGTAAGGCAGATTACAGGGACCTGATCTTTAATGCGCGATCCGGCAAGTGAATTAGTCACTCTGATTGTATTTTCTAGTCGGCTAAACCCGATATCGCTGAAAAATGGTCGAGACTTACTTTGGAACAAGGGATGTGACCGGACTTCCTTAATTCGCAAGCGTATCGAAGTTGTTCATACAATCTGGAAAAAGTAGAGCACGAAGGTTGTAAAATTAAACCTTAATCCGCGGTTTAATAAAGTATGTTTCATTGTGCACTGTTGATGAAGCAATACGTGTACACAATTTCTAACATGGGAAACCAGTTTCAAGGTGCACGTGCAGGAATTCGAACCTGGGTCTCAGACAAAACAGCCCGTGGGGCTTCTGCGAAAAGGGATACTGAATGTAGCACCGTCGTGAAAAACAAATTGATTCCCCTGATTAATATACACTAAACGTCCCGGTGAAAACATGGAATCTGTATACTTGTTTTATTATTGAGTCTATCCGTTTTCGCATCAATGGAAGGCCTAATTGTTCCATAGATGAACGTCTTGAGCTTATAACACGCATTTCTCTAAAGTCACCAAACAAGTTATTCATGTTTTTCGCCATTATCCCTCTTATGGCTAAGAAGGCATGAGGCATTTCTGACAAGTTTGGTCATACGAGTTCTTCCATCCTCTTGAAGGAAAATATCCGACCAGGCTTCCCAGGGGCTGGACTACTCCACTAGAAACAATCGCATGCAGTCTAATTAGAACAAGACCATCCGGTTAGTGTTGGTGTTCATGATTTCGGCTTCTGGCGTAAGAAGGCTAATGATGTTAAAACTGGACTTGGACCTAGTGTGGTACGTCAACACTGCCAGGATTATTTAGAGGACAAATTGATTAGACTGTGAATCATACTTTAATCATATGACAGTTTTGCTGCATACCACATCAGCGAACATGTATGCATCAAAGAAATCAAGGGTGTCCATTGTAGTATATACACAGATAAGGTAGGTTAAAATGCTTTCAGAGAAATAAATCGTCTACCTTATATGTAGCTGACGAACAACAAAAGTGAGTCAGCAGAGTACTTGAATGCGACGGAACTTTGAGGAACGAAATCAGGCAAACAGAACGCGGGACCTGGCGCCTCGTTAAACACATGTGAAGTTCTAACTGGGTCATCAACTATTGTATTTGTCAGCGGAATTCGACACCTTCCATGTCCTCTGTTTTCCCTAACAACGTGTGAATAATAATTCAGTTGTTAGTAGTGGAGTTACTCCGGTGGAAATTCCAAAATGCATTAGGCCAGACTATTCAGACTCAATCAAACAACAGCAGAGCGCCGCGAATATCAAACGGTTTGGATTTGAAATATTCTTCCTCTTACGAGGGTTCCTTTGTTTAGGGTTGCATATGAAACGCTTCCATAGATTGTTGAGTATCAAGTACAAAAGCAGTTGTTGTTGTTGTTGTACAACTTCCAAGACAGACGAACAGTCTAACATGTGATCAGGTGTACACCATTTGATTTACATCAAATTTAGTGAGAACTAGTTCAAGTTTGAGCAACTTTTTTAGAACGTGCTACTCTGCAAAGGAATGCAAAGGCGAAGAATCCTTATCTTGGGGTAGTTCATGCTCTATTTGATTGGTATATATTCCGTAACGTCATCGTTGGATTCAGTTCCACTGTGTTTACGTAGAACTCCTCTGTAAATTGCTATACCGCCAGAAAGCAGTTTTGCACGTGTTACTTTGCCTGATCAATTGGATAAAAGTGTTGTAACATGAACGATTTTGGCAGTGGGCTCGTTAAGCATTTCATCGAATGATAAGCCTGTCAAAACATGGAACGAATTAGACAGCACCCCAAAAATGGCAAACTTTTAGTTTAAGGAGAAAATGTAACTAGTCACTCAGGCTAGGCCAAATAGCACAATCAAATTCTATCATCCATACTTGGCATCAAAATTCCCCCAGTTACCAATAAAAGCATCACTAATATGTTGAACGCGAGAAAAGCAGAAAGCACAGGTCATGGCCGTTGTAAGTGCACCGATGCTTGGACAAAAGCTGTTGATAACCAGAAATCCAGTGTAACAGTTTCGACGTAGAGGCAGACCACTTTTTCAGCCGATTACTGAACCATCGTTCTTCTGAACAAGACGCTGATGACTTTTTTCTGAATCAACGATAGTATTCTAAGGGACAATTTGCGTATTGTTTCAGTTGAATGGCAGAAAGCTGATCACACTGGCAAAAGCTCTCTTCCATGAATACGACATTATAAGTTGCTCTGGTGAGGCGTGAGAGTGAGAAATACCTAGTCAGTTCAGAATACTGTCACACTTGAACGATGGGGTGTTTGAACCGGTAGTTTCTAAATTTGTTAGCGGAACTGCCTGTCTAGTGAAGCTGAATGGTCAGTCACTACAGACCGAACAAAATTAATTCCTGTTGTATTCCCAGACAGGTTATTTCCGCTTCTCATCCCGCTCGAAATTGACTCTAGCGTAATACCTCATCCAGAAACCGTTCAGGTACTCTCAGAACGCGCCTGCTAGCCAGGACAGTGAGCCAGTTGTCAGGCTAAGCACCACAGTAAAATTGACAACTAAGAGTGCAAATTTGTTACTAGTTGCTTGACAGAGAACTAGTGATATTTCTCTAGGAAGTTTCATATTTTTTCACACAATCATAATGTAGTGTAATATGTACGTACTGTACTATAATCACAATGCCAGCCGATGGTTATTTGAAAGCAATTTACTAATTTCAGAAATGTTCCCAGTCCAGCGAGGCCTTCGAATACGTAATGCAGCAGATGGCAAACATCAGAGTGGCTGTACTACATAAGTAAACGTATTTTAAATCATCACCTATAAATTTCATTTCAAAGGCGAACTTCACATCTGGAGTTGAAACGATAGCCATGTATTTGTTCACTAGGCACTTCCATTTGCCCTATTCCTTTCAATCTCATTTGTTTAACGTATTTCTAAAGCAATCAGAACATCAACATTTCACTGACAGCTCTTATAGACGCCAACGATAATCTGTTTCAAAAAATGAAAATGCAAATTTAGAAGACAAATATGGAAAAGGCCTTCAGAGTAAAACAAACAAGGGCACGGATTTTTAGATTACCAGCAAGCGAGTCAGTGAAGCTTTTATTGGCAACCAAACTATCCCGAATTTGACGAAACAGCCAAACACGTGAAGGCGTTCACCGTCTAACCAGTGGGAAATATGTTTGTCATTACACTCTTAGATCGCTCAGAATCGCAATGAATACAAGCGTTGGCTTCATCGGACTACAAAGAACCTTAAATGTAAACACAAAGATACGAACGCTCTGAATGCCACCAGCTTCGTGAATGACGAGGCACTTGTATTGTACGTTAGAGAAAAGCTGGGTAACCGTAAGCAAATTCATTGTGTTATTGTTGTATTGTTCTTAGGCCGGGACATTTTCTTAGAGTACGTCGGACTTTCATCTTAGAACTGTACCCAAATGATGTGCCTATGTGCTGCCGAACATATTGGGTGAAGGATTCCTTGTTGGTTGTTGATCAGATGGCTGTTGATCTGTTCGCCGAACTTGACAATTGGCTTGCAAACGTTTCGTTACCATGCAAGGGACATCGAGAATGCGCAGTTGGGTGGGTAGTTCCTGTTTGCCTGTGTGCATTTATAGGGCATTCAAGTGCTGTCGGTTATCTCCCGACGTGATTGGCTTGTTGGGTGACAGCGTCTCTGTTGAATTTACTAAGAAGCTACCAATATTCCACCACATTACCGAAGTATTTCTTGGTTAATCACAAAGGAGACGTCAAGATGCGGCTATTAATTAAGTTCGCTGGGATAGATCTCAATGAATCCTCGATAAACGGCTATCAACAATTACAGATTCCCACTATATGCTGTTCTGGCTTTCTGGGAAGTGCAACTACCCTCCGTGTTCCACCCTTGTTAAGAAAATCAAACATGATCAAAACCAAACTATGCATGAGCCTCTGTCACCGGGTGTAGCTGTATGGTAGGGAACCATAAAATGTAGTGTATCGGTAGGTTATTGAGCCTAATCGACCATATTCATGACTGCCTGTTTAAAACTGTTCTACTACCGTAACGCATCATTTGTTAGTCCGTGTACAACATGGTTTCTCCTTCAATGCGGTGCACATCATGCATTTTGCATGAGTACCATCGCTCTGCTAGACACTTTTTAGGAGAGTGTACTAAATGTTACCTTTTAGTGCATCAAGCTATCTCGCAGCGGATGAAAACCTAGAGTGTTCACCAAGAATCGTAAGTCACCGGAAGCTTTGCTTAGTACCGTGTTATGGTGTGTTGTAAACAACTCTAGTGAACATGTATCACTATGAGTGAGGCTACATCTGTTCCATTTGCTAAACGGGTCTTGATCAGGTCAACTTGCAAGTATATCGCCCCCGTCATTTCAGCCCCTCTATTTTGACCATTACGTATGAGGAGCAACTGTCTATTTTCGAAAAGCAATTGCCCAATAGCATTAGTGAACATCTTGATCAACTTTAGCGGCAAAGCTGCAGTCTTGATGTACAGTGTTTATGGCTCCCACAGGTGTGTTCGCCGGTGATCTGAGGAGGCACGGGTAGGTAGCAGTGGAGGCGGTAGCTGATATATTTCATATGTCAATACAGAGGTGTCAATGGACTTTCCACTGGGCAGATCTGGAACGAAAGTTATGTATTGGAGAGGGCTGCTTGGATTCATGTGTACACTTGAGCGCACGACTGGGCCACGTCTAGCACTATTTTGAGTCGTTCATGTGTTTCCGTCAGGAAGACGGCAATGACCAGCGCAGCTGAGTTCATTGGTACTAACCTTCATACTTCGCTACCAAGTCAAAGCTTGATCACCCCTGGCTCTTTTCCATCCTTCGTGTGGCTGTGCGAAAAAAGCACTTCGAGAAAGTCGTCAACTGACATACGGAACACGTGACCCAATCAGCGCAACTTATGCGGTGGGGTTATTTTTTATCTACAGTGGGTGAGCTATCGTTAGGATGCGTCCAGACACGAAAAGTAAATGTACAGGGAACGACAAGCCCCTAGGGACAAAACCGGCACCATATGTTTCGGATAGCAGGTGCGTGGGCAGAGCCTGTCAAACACGGTTTAGTGGCCAGCAGAGTGGATGTGAAGCTGTCCACGGTGGGAATATCGCCATTGGCCGGATAGAACGACCGAGCAAATGATCATATTTGGCCATATAGCCATCCCATATATCTACGCAGAAACTGTACGTTTGTCCTGAAGATACAAACGTGTCCTGGGTTCTCTCTGTCTTCTTATCGCGTAGTCTGGCAGGCTGAGTTCAGGCGTACCCAATAGACGGCCACTCACTATACAATTATCTCTCCCAAGAAACATTCAGAGTATTTGAGCATTGCTAATCTTATATTTCCGCCAGACACAGAAGATTGTCTGAAAACACCGAGAGTCAAATAATGAAAGTATTTTTAACGTTCTGAACTCGCAGCTACCCCGTCTCTGATCGCAACATTCTAAGCTTGGTCATCGACACAAGACTCGGGTCCGAGATCACAGCCTGCCAAAAGTTTCAGGTGTGAAGCCCATGTCCAGCCATAATGCAGATTTATTTATACTATTCAGCACTGTTTGAATTATCATGGGATCAGATCCAAGGAGAGCTTTGTCGATCACGTGCCAAATATCTGTGATCGAACCCCTTGGAGCTTCAACCCCACAGGTGTTAGATGATGAGAGTGACTCTTCAATGATGTTTATACTTTATTTCGTCTTTTTGACGGACGATTATGATTCCACTCGTCCGAATGCATTATCCCCAGGAGCTGTGCTTCAGGGAGCCTGTTAAACGGACGGTTTAGGTGACCAGATTCTATGGATAACCGATGAGCTCCAACTATATCAATAAGTATCCTCACTCCACTGGTTCTAACGAAACCCTACCTAGAACGCCCCGTTAGCTTTCGAGCTAGTAATTCCGTAACTAACGGATGCGCCGTGGAATGCCTATTGAGATAAAATCATCTCACTATCCAATTCATTGGCAACAGTCCAATTTCCCCGGCAAGTCGAAATCAGAGAGAAAGCACTGAATTCTATTTGCTCACTTGTTATAGCTCATCACTGATATCGCGTCGAGCAAAACGCCAATCCGCGTTTTCAAAAAATTTGTGTGAACTAACCGGAATAAGCAAATCAGTCCAAGAAAAAGACTGTTCGATGATAGCGTTTTGGATACGTCTTCTTTGAACCATATAAATACTCATACGTATACCATTGATCTGATTGGATAAATCTGTAGTGGACTAGGTATCAAACAAGGTATTTCTACGGGTGGTTAGAATATGGACACCCTCCTTGTAGGCAGAGTAGAAGTGTAACAGATGCAACGGTTCAGTAGCATTAAAGTAGCTGAATTTCTCACAGTCTTATTCAAAGTATCACCGAAGAATCGCAAGCAGTACTTATTCCTGTCATTTGCAGTCATTTACGTTTGCATCTATTATGTTTACTTCTTCCTGAATAGGGGGTGAACTTTTGACTAAAGCCTCATTAATTTCATAGCCAAGCTATTTGAATCTCCGAGGACTTGCCGAGGATAAGAAAACAAATTCCTCACGGGTGCATGTGATTTTTAGTGTACTGGCCAGTTCTCACACTCTATCCTCACGTACACAGCTCTCACCTTATTTTTGTCAAGGGAACCATCCAGATGAACCAGAATCTTCATGTAGATCTTTGCAACAACTACGGTAGCTGCTGTCCAGGGATCTTTTGAAGGTTAAAAGCAGTATTTCAAACTCCCGTCCGGTGGTACCGGTTACTCTCCATCCCAAACGTCCGAAAAAAACAATCAGAAGAAACTAAGGTGCAATGGATAAGGAACGGCACGCGGTTCACTTACTTCTTGGTGTTTTCCAGTTCTTCAGCCACTTTATTTCGTGCATGGTACACCTCAAGTAGTTGGTTCTGTAATTCCATCAATCGGTCCTGTGCGCAACTGACGATGCAATCCACCTGAAAGTTGCTGTCATCTTTACTCATTGATGAAATCAGTGACTTTCTCAAAGACTCGGCTTTAGATTCACACATGGTCAATGCTGCAAAAGCTTTGAGGAGGGCATTGTATTTCTGCTGTGACGTGGTGACATCTGGAAGGCTACTGGTTTTCTTGCTGCTCTCCGACCATACTCGCCTCCGAAGCTCGGGCCGGGATGGCATACTGGCGCACGATGGGGCATAGGACCTGCGACTAGCCCGCTTGTCTAACACAGTAAGGCTTTTTGAGAATTGTGGCTTTGTGTTGCTGTGGTAGGGAAGTGGTTTTGGGAAACTCGGTCGAAAAAGTGAGTTCGATTTTCGCAAGGTAGCTTCCAGTTTGCTGCGTTGTGGACTTTGAGATTTGTTGAGACCTGGTAGTGTTTTGCTTCGACTGAGCTTTGAAAGTTTCTTGAGTGAACACAAAGTGATCAAAAGTTTTCAGTAGTTACAAAGTGAGTATCGAATGAGTTACAAAAATAAGTGATAGACAAAGCAGTCATTCCCCTGACACATTACACCAGGAAAGCCATTTTTATTAATCCCTTTCTTGATGAAAACATGATTAACGTTGGAGCCAAAGTAGTGTTCTTTTAAGTATACGTACACAAGAGAAATTGTGTATTCATCAATGAGATTTTGATGGATGAAAGACCCTGGAAAATACCAGTTTATCTAATCAGATTGCCCAATTTTATGGGAGCAGAGAAGCCTCTTCGCAGAAAAAAGTGCAAAGATTTCACAGCATATCACAACTCCTGGAATTATCAACTCGAAAGGAGCTTATCTGTAAATAAAAAGAGGAACACTCGTCCCTTGAACTGGTCATCGTGTATCGCCATTATTTCCATCCAACACCAACTGCAGAGTGCTCCTTGGCTGTTCACTATATGCACCTTTACTGGATAACTTTCCGTACTGGTCGATGGGTTCTCTGAGAAACCCAGATTCGTATATCGTTCAGTTATTACACCTTCACTGTCAAACAATCGAAAAGCGATTGGTTTAGCTCCTACACCCTACCTGTTTAACCGCTCAAGCAACACAACTGATCTCACATCTTCAAAAGAGTAAATCGGAATTAGCTGAACGCAGTAGTTCAAAGCCTGACCGATAGCGTGAAGACATGACACGGAGACTACATTGTTTCAGACGGAGAATCTAAGACATCTATCTGAAGGTCACCGATGCCTCAGAAGAGCACATGGAATCAGATAAAGCCAGCAAATTTGGAGTTGATCTTTGATAACGTGGACGGTACTCTCCTCAAAGGATGTATCTAGCACTGTAAGCTATGGTAGCCGAACCACATGCCGAGCGTTGCTTTTCATTTCCGATTCGGAGTGGCGAAACGTAGAGATTCGCAGAAGGGAAGGGAGGGCGTTACAAAACGCTTGAATGCCGTTGGTGCTGTTCGCCTTCCAGAATAGGGTCCACGTGGCCCTCCTTGTGTTTGGCTAAAGGCAGTGAGCGATACGGTAGCCAATCAATGTCAATGGCCTCCATAGAGTCAAATTTCACGCAGAATGTCTGAGTGTTGCAACCGCAGACACCTCGGACAATTGTTGTAGGCTATCCCCAGGTGTTCCTGTTTGTTCAACTTTCTTATTCAAACAAATTGACATGGTTCTATGGCAACGAATCAGCGGTATTCTCATATGGTGTGGCTGTCTATGGTGATTATAATGGTGATGGTGATGATGATGCATTAATCAATGCAGTAGCCCATATGCTGTACACAATAGATGGTTAATTTTCCCAATTTCCGCTTTGGGTAGCTAGTTCCCAACCGCGATTCAAAAGAATGACGGCTTCTTACTTAAATGCTATGTCAGGCTGTAGGAGTTAATTAATTGTGTGGAATTTCGAAAAAGTACCACGTGTTAGGATTGTTTGGTCTTGCTCAAGCCGGAACATTTTTTAAATAGGATATCACTGAGAAACTGCAACCATACGGTTGGGCCGCTGGTTGCCCAACTCATTGTGTAGACCAATCTGCAGACGCTTTGTATGTGAAGTCAGGAATTATCAATATACTTTCCAGAGAACCAGTCCGAAAGAGTGCGTCCGTTACATAATCACAGGTTTGGCTGATTGCAAACAGAGATTCATCAATCAATGGCGATCAGCTTACTAAAAGTCTACACACAGATGCAAAAATAGTTTGCGTGAATTCATGTGTGGTTTGACGCATGGATACGTAAATCTAACGTAAAACTGGATAAATGCTATCAGTGAGGGGATAAACGAGAGTCCATTTGAAGCAGTCATCCTATTGAAGCAAGTTGGCATTGTAATCAGCCTCTTCTCCCATTTGTCGTTGTCTTGTTCTGCAGTCCTTTGGTTCCAAGTAGTTCTGCGAATTTCCACACTTCCCTAATCAAACTACAATTTTCTTCACTTTCATTATACATATCCTTCCCGGTTTGTTACCATACGTATTCAGGCATGTTAAGCCATCAAATTGCATGAGTGTTTGTTCCGTCAAAAAAGCTGGTAGCTCGTTGCGGTTGCTCTGTCCAAAAATCGCAGAATGCCTCGTCGCTCTTGTTGCTTTGCACAACACCGATTTTTGAATTCTGAAAGTACTTTGGACAAATTAGGTGGTGGTACTAGCCACCCTCTGGACGAATTGTCAACTCAGTAGGGTCAATAGTGAACCAACATTTTCCTGGAGCTACGTAAATGAGTGCTTACGTTAAAAGGGAGTTGATCAAGTACTTATTGTAACAGACAGTAGATATCTATGTGTGTGAGGTCTTGTAATATAATTTTTCATTTCTCACTTTGTCTCTCTTTTATCAACCGGCTTTGATTGTAATGCGAGAACGGAACGAGTGAAGATTTCCATTATCAAACTCCTGTATGGATGTAGAGCGTGAGAATAAAACTACAATGATAAAGTTCCATATCTTTCTGTGCGTCAGTAGTATCCCTGTAAGATGCCGCCTAAATTTACTGGAGAATATTTGCTTAGTTTGGACGATTCTACAGAGCTGTAGACTGTGAATCAAGCTCTCCTCCAGAGTGTGAAAATTGAAACCAGACGCTAAGCGTATGACAAGCGTTGATCGAAAAATCAGATATAGAATGGATGCGAAACACTCCTCGTTATATCTCCAACGGTGATATTTCCGCTACCAAACAAGGACGTAACATATATAGCTAAAAACCAGCGATGCGTGAGCAAAGGAGCTGATGAGGGTTGGCGGACATAATGACTGCTTCTTAACTGATTTCATTGTATTCGTATGTTACAATCTGACTGTTACTTTGGCTGGCATATTCAAAGATATTTTATGTGAGAACTGAGGGGATGCAAATCATTAATTGTTTTATGTCGGTATAAGACACAATTGATGGAAGTGCACAAGCAATGAGGGTCATACCTGGACTGGCAGCGTGTTATGGTGTCTGAATGGCGTAAATCCAGTTCATTGTAAAAACCGGGGACTGTCTGGTGTTTTGCCCTTGATAAAATCGATTTTATTATTCGAAGCAAGGATCTTCTGAAAGTGTCTAACTTTGACGGCCTTGGATATTGAAACAGCACTTGAAAGAATGTACTCTAAAATTTCATGATTATCTTGGACGATAACTTGAGTCAACAACCTGCAACTGCCAAATCTGGTTATCCCATAGTTAAATGAACTGAAATACTCTTAGCTTCGCGGAGTACACTCATCTGCATACCAATGTGGTTTTGATGGGAACCCAGTTGAATCTCTTGTTTATGACGTTTTAACCTTATGAATAGTGTATTACGTCCATGTACGCATTGCGATATCACAAAGTCGTACCAACTGGAACATGAGGCGGCCTGGTGCAGCCAATTCAATTGCTCACAAGAGCCACAGCCGTATCGCGCCATAGAGCCTGATATCTACTTGCGTGATATGATGCCAACGTTAAGAATCCCTCGGGAAGTCAGTGAATGTGCACAAAGGTTCTTGACATCCTTTCACTAGCTAATAATAATAAAATATTAGTTAAGGCGTAGGTCAATCCGGTGCGGTTATTATCCTCACCAAAGAATGTACAAGGGCCAGAACACTGTTAGGTGGTCTAAGCTTAGATAGGATCAGGCGTAATGCAGAGGTTGGATTCGAACCGGTCAATCGGTATGCACGTTAACCACTTAGCTACCTTGAGTTCACTAGGAGATACACAAACTTGTCAGTTAAGTCTAGGGAGAGCTCTAGATTTCCGTGTAATCCAAAGTAACGTGGATAACTATCAGAGTCCTCGTATTGTGAAACATCTGTATGGTATTCCGAACCACACTTTATCTTGTGATCAAATTTAGATATTTACTCGCTCTGCATCCTTATTGATCGGTAGACGAAGATCAAAAATATACCTGAATCAGTACGTCCAGAATAAAAAATATAAACCTAGTGCAACATACCACTTGTCATTAGGAACTGAAATACGCACACATGGCTCTCGCAACTAATAAACATCTATTATATTTAATATGACTTGGTTGAATACGTCGGTTTTATGCTACTAATAGAGCAAATGATATTTTATGCCAAAGCCATGCAACCCTGCAGTTTTGCCGTTGGAAGCCGAGGTTTATTGGCGTGAACGATCTGGGAACATGTCATCTGTTATTCTCACCTATGCTGAAATTCTGGAATTTGATTTTTAGGATTAGCTGTTTCGTATCTCTCATGTATGAAGTTTTTATCTCGGCACTGGACACCGGACAAGAGCTGTACGCGCATCGGGTGATTCGGCAAAAGGATCTCATGCTAATTTTTCTCCAAAATCAACGAAATGCTCAGTACGATTTTCGCTAGTTCAACTGCATTTCTTCCCCAGTTGTGCAACCGACATAAAATAAAGCCTCGCCGATAAGGAACTCAAGAGAGAACAAAATTTCAAGTGTCGGCGAAAAATTTAGGTTAGACGATAGATTGTTCTTATCCTAGGTGCATAAAAGCCCAGTTACCATTTCAGAAACAAAATGTAACTCACTTCTTTGTCGGGTGTCAGACCACTACTTCTGACATCGTGACTTCCTGGTGGTAACCACTCCGGTCGTTTCCAGGTAAATCTGTCTGACTTGCTCCTCTGCAGCTTTGAACCAGTGGTTGGAGCAGATGTTGCAGGACTAATGGTGCCAATGATAGATTGAAATTTTCGGCAATCAAATTTGGCGGATTTACTACGCACAAGTCCACTGGATATCACGAGACTAAATCTTCTGCTATCCGGTCCAGTGGCCTGCGGGCTGATGGAAAAGAACTGTGCAGGTCTAATTCAAACAAGCTAAGGGGATGAATATGTCTTCACCAATGAAAGAACAGGATGTCAAATAAAGATGTCGAAATTTAACTTTCAGGGCCCATTTGAGTAAGGATAAGATAAGCTTTCTTAGGATACTGAGTATTGAGCAAATACCCGTGAAGCTACTTCATATAGGATTATACAAGTTCCTAAACAGAACCGTAGTTTAGGGTTTTACTCGGTCACCAGAATGAGTCATATTTAATCCACAACAACATTAGAAATAATTTTCACAGTTTCCCTATTGAATCAGCGCAGAAACTGCTTTTAAAAAACAAGTCGATTATTCGAAATCACAACGAGTAATCTTTAGGAAAATAAAAATTTCATTGGACCTTTCTAGGGATTCTGAATAAACGTTTGGCTAAATGCGGTGCGCTGAATGCTCCGGTGGTTGTCCAGTGTAAACTACACTGAATCGCCCAACTCATTTCCATTGTGGGCTTTTAAAATCTGAATCAAACGAATTACCAACTTTCAGATTCCCAATGAGGGTCAACTAAGGTTTAAATAAATCAAGCACCGAGTCAGTAGTGAAAGGATGAAGGTGTTCGCCTCGGAGCTGTTTACTAGAAAACACCAACCGAACATTTACAGACTACTGAACCGGGAAACAAAACTGTCACATGTATCTTGTTTACAAAGCCGAATATCCATCTTCTCCTTGAACGCGTCTTCTTGAACTTTCCCAGATATTCACTGACCGTTACTCAAATGCAAAAAATGCTACAAGTGACTCCACAAATTCCGTAACAGATCTCACTTTTCAAGAAATGTGGAGCGGATTTACAAGAAAACGTACTACTTCGCACGCCCCATCAGTGGCATCCACCATTACACTGGTAGCGAGAATATTATGATGAGTTCATGCAAGTAGATTGAAAAGGCAACTTTCCGACAGAGACGACATCATTAGGTTGGAATCAGTTATACTGAGTCGTAAGCACATGAATGAGGTTAGTACAGATCTACAGAAAACGCTTTTGGCTTACAAACCCGGCAAACTTCATTGTTTCTGGGTTTAAGATTGAAGCCTAGTATTTGGCTGATGACGCTTCGACATTTCACGATTGAAAGCGAGGACTGATGCAACATTTTAACAGAGTTTAGCAATAAAATCTTGCGGGCGGTTTACGTTCTTGCTCTAATATGAAACGATTTAAGCATTTATGTAATCTCATAGATAAGGCGACTCCTGCATATTCAGATACCCACCCAAAGGTTGTCATAATAACAGTGATAGAAGTTCGCAAACAGTGACCGAGGACTAATTCCGGGACATTTCTGAAGCAGCATATTGCTCATATACATTATTACATATGAAATCAGGAGAATGAAGCAGAAGTGCATAATATGAAGGGCCTTCTTTGCTGATCTGATATAAAAATATTTCTCATCCAAAATCTCACCCTTCGCTGCATAATTCTTAGCAGCATTGGAGGGTAAAACTACAGATATATATATGTACAAACCGACAAAATCCTATAATGCACAACTTGAATTCAAATTCAAATAGAAAAGCAGCCCCTAAATGTGCTTGTCAATACGGACTGTTAAATTTACCTTACATGACTGTTTTTTTTGGAACCAGTACGGTAAAAAAACCGCGGTAATTCTTGAACTTGTAGAATATTTATGTTAACATACTGCCATAAATATTTGCGTTCATAATCCAGCTTTTGTGGCCTTAATCAAGTAGCCGAAAATTAGAAAAATTTTGTCAAATATCTTACATAAGCGGAATATCACAGGCTAACGCTAGTGAAGCAGTCGTATTCATTCCGAAACCTGGAGTCTATATTGATTATCTTATCAATGGTACATGCTTTTCTAAATGGTTCTCTGGAAAACCAGCAAGTATGAATTTTTAGATTTACAATAGATCTGGCAGGTTCGGAAGGCTAACTGTGTCATTGCCAGTAGACAGTTATGGAATTTAGCCGGTACTTTATCTTTTATGCACGCCTTTAAACATTATGGCAGTGGCACCATGCGCCTATCATGAAATGAATACAAATATCAACAGTAAATGAAAAATCTATACGTCAGACTGAAGCTGACTCGTTGCTATACCAGGGACGTTGATGCAACGTTAGGTTCTGGAGCGTGTGCCATCAAATACGTAAGTTATACATTCAGGAACGGCAGTACTGGTTCTAAGCCGTAAGCTGAAAGGACCGATATCACGCCGGGTGGTAATATTATATTTATCGTAATTTCATGGAGTTCTGAAGGCACGAGAATGCTGCTAAATCCGCTCAGGGAACGTTCACTATTTCCAGTTACATTTGATTTCAAGCAAAAATTAATTATTGTCAAAGTACCATTATATTTGTAGCTGTCATTTGGTAGTACAGCATGCATTATCGATATTTTGATGTCAAGCTAACATAATCTTTCATTCATTACTCCACGCAACGTGTTGGCTCGACCACCGAATGCAGTGGTGGATATGAATCGCATAAACCGAGAATAAGTTGCTCAGCCTCTTAGATCCCACTCATGCAGAGCATGGAGGACTTGTATGAGCGTCTACCGTTTGCACTCAGTTTCATGCGTGCGCAATTATGTGAGTAGTAGGCAGCTATTTTTGTCGTCCGGGGATGTAGTAAAGCCAACACCTATAAGAGCTTCATGCCGTTCGCTTTTGGATTGGGTTTCTAAGTGGTCTGCCTCTTGCCACCAATAACTTGAATTTGCTTGGTGTATTCTTTGTATTGGACCTTCTTGACTATAGTCTATCGTATTTCATGTATACACAGTATTCTGTCAACTTGCTTCCTCCGAAGATACTCAGTCTCACAAACTTTACCAATGGAATGAAAGGTAAGTGCGAATTTCAAAGAGAGAGCTGGAAACTATTACAGATTTGGATCTGCTTTCCTGCAACAGGGCAAACGTTTCAGAAGTCAGAAAATGCAAGCAGTGTTCACACTGGTATGCAACTGATTTCTCCTTAGCCTTAATCAACTAGGTTATCCAAAGGACACTCTGACGGCACGGCAAATTCTCGATACGTCCTACTGAGTTTTGCAACTGAGGTTTCCTGGCAAACGAGTAGATTCACGGTTCTTGTGTGGTATGGTAAACCATGGGGTGTCATAGAGCGCAGCACTCAGCGATGTTAAGTTTACTTTTCTAACAAACACTATGAAGACAGACAGGACACACAGTTGTTAGTGTGGAATCATACCAACTTAAAACAGTAATGAAAATCGAAGACATTTGATACATTATTTCATGAAAGTAGATCCGCAGGAGATGTGCATATCCCTAAATCGATAATGATTCTACTCTGGAAGCCAGTCAATATATAGTCACATGATTCAGTTTCCATAATTGAGGGATGAGTGGCCCTACATCCTAAGTGGGATCTGGCAAAGTTGTAGCCGCACAAGGTAGAAAGGCTAAGTGTTGAACCACCAGCCTGAAAGCCCTGGGTTAGAAACTCAGGTTTTCGTGATGCGCACTGCTTCTGGGTTTTTCGTCACAGATTGGTCTCATAGACAAAATCTCTTCACGATACGATCAAGTGCTCGAAAACCGCTCCAAGCGTGATGACATCAAGCAGGTTTATCGTGGTTCGTGAAAATTTGATGCAAGCGAATTATTCTTGAAAATGCTCCAGCCTTAACTTATTGTTTAATAACTTTACCATGAAATCAGTCCTCCAGATGAATGCAAACCTGTCATTCTGACAATTAAGAAGTGGAAAATCCGTGTGATGTTGACCACTTAGACACGTTTCAACCATTCCACAAAAGAGACTATGGGTTACATCGGCACATGGGTACGTGAAAGCTAACTCTCTTTTTGCTGAGTATATTTGAATAAATGGGTGTGAAAGTTGACTAGTTTGCAAGTGGTACTTTATTAGGGAATTCATTACTACATTGCAGATAGTGTTCCTTATGTGAAGACAAATCGGTAGTCAGTAATTTGGACGACCCAGCAAATAATTCAGTGGATGAAAATAAAGGACCAGCTGTTTGCAAGGAAAAGTTGAAAAGCGTCTGGTTCAATTGGAGAGGTTTTGCAGAAAAAGGACTTTCGTATCCCTAGTCATCTTGAGTTTATTGTTTATTGTACGAGAATCATATTTCAAACGGGATCAGTAAAGGTAAACTTAAATGAGTTATAGGGAAACAACAGATTTGCTGTAAATTCAACTTCAGATAAATCAAACTGTCTGGGAATAGGGCCGGTTTCCCCCAAATAGGACACTTCCTCCCAGAGATGGTCATTTTGACTGCATCTAGCAAAAACCATTTTGTCCGCCACAACGCTGAACGTTTCTGAGTGTTAAGCCTGCCTATCAGTGACTCTATGGTCATCACTGTGCAGACAAAACTGCTTATGTAGCAAGAGTTAGGTATGTGAGTATACCTTGGGAATGAAGCTTTGTGACTGATGCAGCCCGCCAGGCAACTCTTCACATACACTGAACAGTGAAAGATGTCCTCTCCTGTTCGTCACTTGGTTTTGTTCCCTTGGATGTACTTCAGACGCAGGGCATTTATTTGGTTATTTGGTTATACATGCAGTCCAGATCAATCCACATAAACCATAAACTGTTGCATCGGGGTTCATCGATTTATGTAATTTGAATAGCTAATGCATCGGACTCCCACCTTTCTGCGATAAAGCGACCTTGAAGCCATGTCTTATCCTTGAAAAACATCTGCTGAAAGACTACTGTTCCCTCATCTGCGTTTCACTTCTCCTAGTGCGCAGCACCTTTCCATACGCTGGTATTTCTGTTGCTTTGACGTTCATTTTGAACATGAAATCCTGTGATTGAATCAAAGAAACTGTCCAGTTGATTGTCGCAAAAGACAGCTGCACATGCTGCTCCGTACCTCAAAACTCATTCATGTCCGGTTGCTAACCCTCACAATGTGTCTAGAACACCGGGATCTCAACATAAGCTTTGATATATAAACTAGACAACCTTGTCAACCACTGGGACATGTGGTCAACTCTGGGAATCATATATCGGAGTTATTCAATAAACCGATTAGCTAATCCCATGTCTCATCAGTTGAGCATGTATACTGTGAGTATGAAGATCCTGCATTGAATCCAGCTACACCAATTAGGGGCACTAAGAAAGTTCATTAATGTCACTTTAAAGAAGCAGAAAACTTGTGAATCTGAGCGGAATATTCTTTTAACCGCTTACGGCCACCCAACATTTTTGTCTCTGCTGATAGTTCAGCACCACTTTAACTTGCTGTCTAATTACATTGCGTTGCATGTAGTAGATGTAAGCATGTTCTAAATTCAACAGAAAAGATCTGAACCTGCTATGGTTTACTCTCCATTACAGAGCGTCTTGAAACGCTCAAAGCTATGTGATCGCTTTAATGCAGCAACGCACCCTAGATGAAGGATATCACCGTTTTTCAATAGGTTCCACCGGGTCACACCAACCCAGTCCTAGAAGAAAGAAACCCTGAGAGGAACGCTGCGCTTGTGAAAAAGCATGTTACTAAAGAACCTTCGGAATTACGCTGAGTTTCAATTTTGTGTCCTTCATATGTCAGGGCCGAAGGAATTTCGAAAGCCTTAACCGTACTGAATTTTCCTAGCTCTACTTGCCCATGCAACCTGGATTCGATATCTGGTCCACAGATGAAATATGGCACGTAAATTAACTGCATCGCTCTTTCATTTGTGGAATGTTTTGAAACTTTTCACGTGTCGTACACTGTACGTCAAAACGAAATTAGTTGTGATTTCCTAATGAATATTCAGCAATTAAAAAACCACATGGGATATGGGTGAATATTGTAGACTTGGTCGACACTATAAACAACACACTCACACTAAGTGTACCCGATCTGGTCAATTTAATACCAGTCAACCTCCCTCCGCTTTCCAATAGTCACCTTAAGACCCTCGAGGCTTCCAGATGCTATCATCATCCCGCATACCGTAATAGTCATGCCAAGAGGCTACTAATAATGTTCGACAAATGGCATCTGTTAATTCATTAGGTGGATGTTTGGCGAAGTTAAGTTCAGATGCACAAGAGTGACTGAATTCGAGAGCAACCACTGGTTCACTAGGTAGAGAACCACCGCGGCAGGTGAGGGATCTGTGATTCGCGTCCGTCCAGAAGCTTACATTTTCTTTCATACGAAGCGTAGTAAGGTATACCTGACCTCCTCGTTTCTAACAATACTCTAGTTTATTGCATTCGGTGTGTTTACCTACGTTAAACAGTGGGCGCACCTGTGGGGGGGAGAGGAAACAAGAGAGCTATGTTTTCGATTATTTATTGATTTACTGTATTTAGGGCGTTGTATCGCCCCAGCACAACGGTCGAACCCGACAGATTTTACTTCCCAACGAAATAGTTTAGAATAAAGGGTGAAACGTGATGGCAGTGTGAACTGGTGAATAGTTCTATCGGCTTCGTACACGCCAACGGTGAGACAAATTGCCAAATGCCAAGAGGTTTTTACTTTACCCTTTCCAAGTAGACAAAAGGACGAATTTGAATTTCTAATTGTGTCTACGAAATGCTGAGAATGTGGTAGACGTGAGATGAAAAGCTGTCCAACGCAATATTCGCTTTATCCACTTTCACACGTATCCACCGGACGGGACATATGGGACCATACGCTAGTATGGTCATTACTCAATGGCACTGCATTGTCAGTCGACGCTCAGTTATCCACAACATCTGGTAAAGTGCTGAACGGTTGTGTCAGAAATTGCCGGCTTGCGCAACACTGTCTTCACCAAACTGGTTGATGCTGTTGCTTAATTTTCCTGGTGTCTTCACCTAGTATTCCTTCATTGTGAGTGTACAGCAAACCAAAGCAGCCGAAAATAAGTCATCACGGTACATGGTTAGCCTACCGAATTTCACTCAGTCGCATTTGAAAGCTTGGAAGTAAGACTCCAGTTCTTGTTTTAGATAGTACCGGCAGTGAGATGTGCCACGAAATTTTAATCAATAAGTCTTCCCTACTATATGCTGACGTGTTACGTTCACGATAACATGAACTGCCCAATGCGGTGCGATGTTTTTGTTGAGCTGAGGAGAGTGAGACAATTGGGGAAATTTATGAACCCCAACAAAACAATATGAATTCAAAAATATGAAAACAAATTACTGGCTATTTGCTCTTGGTTTTCAAAATCGCACATGAAGTGCACTGGTTAGTGCTAAGAAGTCCAGAAATACATAACACACTCAGATCAAAGGCAAATTGTTGCAAATGTTGGTTAGTAATAAGTGGGTTTCATTATGCGCTTTTGTTTCAGCATCACTTACGGGACAATAATATATTACTACGTCCAAGTGATACATAATCAGTAGTGTTTGTGACGTCTTGTTCGCTTACGTCCTCTGGACCGAATTGGCCACTTATACAGCTTGCTTACGGTGATTATTTGGAAAGCTAAATGAAAAACACACTAACGGGAATTTTGGCAGGCGCTTCTCAGCTAAGCGGCATCAGCGACAAATTTGTTGGTCAACGGCGGTACGTGGGAATGTATAGTGAACCATAATGAGCTTCAAAGCGGAAACTGATGTCTGGTTAGACTCGAGGAGTGGGACAAGTGGGTAGGAATTCAATTTTTTCCTGAGGCATTTGACAATTGGATTATAATCTTTTACGCAAAGTCATTTAGTACAGTCAAGCACATGCTATTGAGATATATTTCAATACTAATGAACTACCATAGCTTTAAGAAAAAACTCTCAAACATGCTTGAGTTCAAATAACTTACACTGATGGTGGTGTATTGTTCCTTGCTCGAATTCGTGCACTCGGGGGTGAAGTGTCTAGAAATAATTTTGAAAAACTGTTGTTGAACGACTTTGTTGTGGCAATCACTTCAATAACCATCTTCATTAGACATTCACAAAATAACGGTTGGTTAATTATCAGGAAGTCTGAGCTCACAACAGTGCAATTTAAGCACACATACACCAAGTCAAAAAGTGAGCGACAAAAGCATCCAGTCAGAAAACGTTTTTGTCTTGCCCGCTCTAATATATGTGAGGACGAAGATTTGGCAAAAATCTCAGAGTCTGAGAAGCAAAAAAACTTTCACATAGAACTTGTATCAAGCAAGATCATTAGATTTCGTTGGATGCATTAAACTAGCATTAGGCTAGGGAAAAAAAACAAACGACTAACCATTAGAAGAAAAATGTATCCTCTGTTACTATGATAAAGCGCAAGAAGCCCTGGGGTATATATTTTAGGAATCATGTTTCACTCATCACGGTGTCTATGAATGCATGCATTTAAAGTGTGATTTTCTAAAACACCACACAAAGAGTAAAACAATACTACTGTCAAAAAAATTCCATCACATGGATCAGAACACAGGCGATAAAGCGTCAGTGACAATGACACAAAGGATTAGTCTTCGTCACAGTCTCCGGTACAGGCGAACTGTTGTTAATCGGGGCAAAACACTATGGCTTACTCAGATGAGTGAGCTTTACGGCGCAATCAGAACAATTTGGCAGGGTGTGGCTCCTCACCGGACTGGATTCGTAGCTGTGTTTCGCTGCAGGTGACAATGGATTAGTAGTCGTTTGTTAATTTTGCTAGGCTTACATCAAATGCAGCCTAACACGCTGAAAGCTTCTCGAATTACAGCAAGGCTGCTTGTGGGAAACATGGTGTGAATTTCAATGTGCCTAGGTGTCGAGTTGAGTCGGAAACGCAAATATTTTGAATATGTTCAGAAAAACTACACACCACGTGTGTATCACGGGAACTCTTCCACTAGTGTAAGCATCATTTTGTCAGGATCAACGAAATCAGTCTGCGCTGACGACAGAATGCAAACCGTGGCTAGTCTTAGGTTCTAAAAATCTTCATTTTATTCCGCAAAACATAGGCCCTTAATGATTTCGCTCTGATACCACGAGTGCCGTTGTATTCCAGATTTTGTAACCAGGTTAGTTTCGGGGAATACCATCTAACCATGTTTGTAAAAAACTTGTAAACGTGTATATTTGCAAAGTAACTTTGTAAATTTACAGATGTCACAAAACCCGTACATTTGTAAAAGTCAAATCTGACGTCTAATCTTTGATACTCTAAAGCATGTTTAAATGCGAAACCTACTTCCAAGCATCGGAAATGGTAGACCTACATCTGGTCTCACAAAGAAAAGCGCCTTCTGAGACGACTTAGGATCAAGCATGACCATGATCATTTAATTCCGACTTAAATCAACACTATCTCCAAGGCAGGTAAGCAAATGAACTGTTGCCAAATAACGACCTGAAAAAAAACATAAATTTCCAGATACTCATTTCTAACATGGCACTCATAGCAGTTCCATCACACACCAAAACCAGACCCAAGCTAAGAGTATTGGGCGATTTGACTGCCTCACATAATGTGTGATTCTGATTAGTGCCAAGTTATACACTGGAAGATAAGACAAACAGGTGGCTAGACTTTGTTCTCTGTGACATCTTGTTTAGAGCGTCCTCAGCGGCGAGAGTTGTCAGTGTGGATCCTCATGAGTACACATCCTTCTGCCGTTTGATGTATTGTATACTTCTTTCTGATTTTAGGTGATCGATGCTCTGGGGGGCTCTTCTTAGGGATAACGTAAACAGCAACCGAGCAGTGATAGTGAGGGATTGAAATTCTATCCTGCAAGTGAAGGCACTGTATGTTGAAATGTCTAGAAGCGCTGTACAGCTGATCCATCCCTTTGGGAATCATCAACAGTGCGCATTCCACGAAACTTCAGGGAGCCTCTCGACCTTTCTGATATAAACTGGCTTCACTTGCAGAACAGCCCAACTGAAAAGCCCCAAATCTCTCAGATTACCTAAAATCTACAAATGGCTCAGTCGGAGGATAATGCACACGATGAAACTTCCACCTGAGAAATCGTCAACTGAAGAGCTTGGTAACATTTGACTATGGGTTCCGTGATTGAAGGATGAGTGGCACTACATCCCGTGTTAAAGAGTCACCATGCCGATCAGCCGCCCATGGCCCAATGGCTAATTATTCAGCCTAATAGCCTGAAGGTCACAAATCCGAAACTTTGGAGTTTCTTTGTTATGAATGAAAATGAAACGCTGTACAGTGCTTTTCGGTTTTTCAGTACATATTGGCCTAACCTGCCGAATGGAATCTCAACTGAGAGAACAGAAATATCTTCCTGGATGCCAAGTCTGTGGTCTAGTCAACTTGACGTATAACGTTTAGCTGGTTCGCCTATCGTGAGTCTCTTCGAAAAAGCATCTGAATGAACTCAAAGTCCATGTTCTAGTGAGACCCTGGCAATCATTTAGGGACGTTGGCGATCAAATACCGAAAGTCTTTCTCGCATTCCAGGAGTGTGTTGGTCATCTATGGGACTGTTATTTGTGCATAGACTGTAGATTAGCGTTGCTCACGGTTTCGCCGAGAGACAAGCTGATGTCACAATGGCGCCAAAACTATCGGAGATTGTAAGAAGCTTCAATGGCACCCATCGCACTGTGGAAGGGAGTTGACTTTTTCCGGATCTACAAGAGCTGTTGCAGTTGTCCAAATAAGTGACTTCATTTACGACATTGGTCTGCCGCATGGAAGAGGTTTGATTCTGATCACGCCCAGTCTTTTGGTCGCATTTTAAACTTTTAATTGTGGGGCGGACGCCATAAATTAATGGGCTTGTTTTGGCCTGCAAAGTGTCGAGGTGAATCAAAGGTGTTTCAAGTAGCGCACCAACATCGGAGTTAAAAAGGAGGTACAATAAAGGTCGGTCCTGTCTATAACAACCAGACGTGTGCTTAGGTAAAAGCATACCGTAAACGGACACTTGGGTGTCCGCTGTTCAGCTGTAGCACCCTTTCGATGCTTAACTGCCATGTTGCCCGAAGGAGGCACGGTGGCTAGGATTCTGCCAGGTTGCCCAAGCCCAGACAGGGGAAATCGATAGGCAGAGGCCGAGTTCAAACCACGGAGCTTCCGGTCAGTAGATTGACGCTCTAACCCCTTGAGCCATCTCGCCCCCTCGAATGTTCACAGGAATATACGTGTTGCTTTTTAGAGACAAGAATCAACAGTGATTGAAAAAAGTTGCCACAGAAGCTAAAGGTCAGTGGAATATAAGGACGTTCTCAAGCAGAGAGAAAACGAACCATTAGTATACGGGTAATTCAGAGCCTGCCGAGAATCGAAACCTGGTCCACACATCCTTACTAAGGACACAAACCGACACCGTTTTCGCTGAACTAACTCTCCGTAACTGATCCGTCCGGGCAAAATAATTCTCAGAATCACTTTGTAGGTGATCCTATGGTGGCTTTCGCACCGCTACTAAAGAATGAGGTTGCAACAATGGTGCTCCATTTCATTGGAAGCTTGTCTCGGTGCATGTTGATTATGGTAGGATTGTATTAAGTGGTTGTCAGTCCTCTGTAATCCTCTTTGGAAGATGGATGGAATAAGTTTAAGGAGTGAACCATGTTTTGCCTTGCTACCTTAGATAAGAAGCCAAATTTTGTATCCCATATTTGCTCCACCAGTAACTTCAAGGCCAGGGTTGAAATAAACCAGCAGAATAATTCCTCAAAGTTTCCGATCGAGGGGGCCCTTTTAGGTTAACGCTAACCCGCTTTTAAAAAATCCAGCCCCATTCGCAACTGAAAAAGTCTGCATTATCTAACCACTCTAAATGCCTTTATTGTATGGACTTTTGCTAGCTTTTGCAACCAGAGCCTTATTATATCCGGGAATTCCGGGAAATCTAGATTGTCTCATGTTACAAACTCCACCTGCTATTAGAAACAGCCCAAAATGGGGTAGGAAGTGCGATATTTTATCCAGGCTGCAAGGCGCTATAGAGAGTCAGCGTTCCTTTCCAACGACCACACACTCCACACTGGAGTGCCGCAACAGGTGG